AGTCACACTTTTATTCAGAAAGTTTGATTCCTCGGGTAGCTGCTGATCATAGCCTAGCTCAGAAGGAAGCAAACACCAGTGGGAAGAAAACACATTGGTCAATACTGAGGCTTCAGAGTCAGCATTTAGCATCAGTGCAACGGCCTGGGCCATGCTCCTGGTGCAGCAGTAAACATTATTGTGTACACAGTACACCCAAGATGACTGCTCCCTGTCTTCATGCTGGGAATCTACCTGCACAACAGCTACCTGCTGGTTAGGGGCAGCTTTATGAGATGTAGTGGCAAAATGGCCAGTCACCAGGAAGCATGTCCTCAAAAGGCCTTGCAGTGCATGGGGAAGATCCGGGATGCCAGTGGCTTTCAATGTATGTTTCTGTAGTCCGCAAACCTTTGTGCCTTCTGATTGTGCCAGGCTAATTTTCTGGAGGCCATACTTTGTGCTATATACCAGAATGCCTGCTCTAGCAGTTTTTCTCCTGCCATGAAAGTGCTAGACCTCCCTAGCAGTGGTGAATCAGTTGTTCAGGAACCAGATACATGTTCACCCCAAATACTGCCTTTTTTTTTTTTTCATATAAACTGACATCCATTTGGGTTTCCTTAAGATAGTCTACCAGTTTCCATATCTCTGTTACTTGCTGTTCATAACCAGATGAACCATTTTTGTGGTGAGTCAGGCAACCAACTGAGGAAAAGAACTAGGACAGCACTGAAAAAAGCCAAACAACTGGGTAAGAAAATAAATGTATTTTGAACTGTTAAGCTAAAAAAACCCCAAACAACCCTGAAAAGCATTAGCTTTTGCTTTTTCAATGGTCCGAACATTCAAAATAACTCTAAAAGTATAAGTGAAGCATGTTAATGAAGTCATTTTAAAATGGAAGAAAAGATGGAAATGTCATAATACAAAAGCTGGATAGTTTTAATTTTGCAATATATATTTTGTGTTCTTTTAAGAGAGTTTTTGAAAAAAATAAATCTAAGCATTTAAATATTACAAACCCAAACTATTTTACCAAAATAAAATCATGTTTGAAATAATCTTGTCTCTTACTCCTCCCACCTTAATTTTGCCATAACCTTCTGTGATTCGGGTTATGTCTATTACTGTCTTCAGTTTTCACCTGTAGAATATCTGTATTTCCTCTGCTATCCAGGTAACTTGTTTGGAGCAGAGATTTTTATTCCAGTACCTCTGTTCAGTGGCTGTTGGCACTTGACCTTGATGACAGTCAGAAGCTAATAGCAGACTCCTAACATCCTCTTCTGTACCAAAAATTAAGAACTACTTAAGCCGTGTGCATTTCTCAGGTGAAGAACACCTAACATATTACCAAATATGAGGATCAATAATACATTCACCAAAAACACCAAGAAGGCTGAGAGAGATTTAATTTCATTTAACTTATTTTTTTTCCTTTTCTGTTTAAACTATACTAGCCTGCCATCAGCTCACGGTTACTGGTGAGCTGTTGTGTAGCCCATACTGAAGCACTAAGAACAAAATTTTGGGATTAATTCTCTCTACATGCTGAGAAGAGGGTGTACATGTAATATCTGTTATGTAATTTAAATGACTGAATAGATAGATACAGGCAGGAATGAAATTATTCACTGGCAATTTACAGAGACTCATTTCAAAAGGTTTCATCTAATTTAAAAAAGCCTACCATGAATGACTGAAATTGGCGTATTATATACATTAATCCTGCCATGGCTTCTTAAAAGTGAATTTTATGACATTTATCTCAGCAGAGTAACAACAATGGTTTCATATTTGGGAAATAAAGAGTAGGAATTACAAATGCACCTGGAAATTGAAGTGCCCCATTTCTTGGTTTTTTTTAACCAATTTTTCCTCATTCAGACAAACTGAATATGCTGGAATTTCTCATATCCTCAGCACTGTGCTTGCACTTCTTAACATGCCAAGATAATTTGTCAAGATGAAAATAAGCTTGATTTTAAATTAAAGTTGATTTTTAAAGTTTTAAGTAGGAGTTTTCTCGCCTTGCCTTTCTGAGAGGGAGAACACGGAAGAGCTGAATGTAATAGCATAGCCCACGTTTCATTGCAGCACTTTGCTGTAATTATATAGCTACTGGAGAGCCACACCAAGCCTTCACAATTTCCTGATCTTTTTTTGCATAGACCAGTATCATTTATCCCACCAGCTTGAAAACGATACTATTGAAGGCACTGGTATGGTTAAAGTTGAGGGAAAAAGAGTTTTAAAAGTGTAACTTGGGCACGTGCCACCTCTGCACTCCAAGTCCAGACTTGAACTACCATTCACTCTGCTGCTGACACGATGGCCAAAGGCTTAATGCAAAGGATTTAATAACTGTTTGGACATTGAGAGATGAAAGTTGCTACAACTCGTTGATCAACTAGAAGGGTAAAAAATAGGTGCCACAATGGAAAATGAAATAATACGTACATGCATGCACTTCATCAGCATAGAATTTCGCTTTATCCTTAATGAACGAACTTCCATTTTCTTCCTTAATAAGATTCTTGCCAACTCACCAGAGACGATCTGATAACTCTGTTATCTGCCCCCGGCAGAGTACAACGTTTTAATGTATGCTGCCTGAGCTACTTAGGCTGGCAAGACCTGAAAACAAATTATTAAGCTAAAAAGGTTGTTGTGTTTTACTGAAGAGTCCTATTTTCCTGTTGGAAATCTCAGGCTGAGGAAGGAGAGGTAGGGTTTGAAGAAGAGCACTCACAAGTAACACATTCCGCCTGAACGGTGGAAGGCTGTTCGCAGGGCCACAAGTTCCTGCGCCCTGCAGCACCCACCATCCCCAAAGCTTGTCCGACTTCAAGTTGCACGCCGTGTTTGCCCTTGGTTTGAGGTGCAATGTAGAACCTGTGTTAGCAGTAGTGTGCCTGACCCCCGCACTCCTCCCGGTGCAATCGTTGCCCAGGACACGAACGCGTCCCCCTGCCGCTTCGGGCGCCTCCACGGTTACCAACCGCCCCGTCCCGCCCGCCCTTGGCAAGGGGCCCCGCCCGCGGCGGCAGGGCCAGGCGCTGCCGGAGGGGGGCAGCCACGCAGCAGCCACCATCGGGCTGCCCCGAAGCCCGGCGTGGCCCGGCGCAGCGCCTCACACGGACCCCTTCCTCCCGGGTCGGCCGCCTCCATCAACTCCACCAGGCGGCGCTCGCAGCGAGAGCGGCGCTCTATCCCATCAGCTCAGTGGTGCGGTCTCTACGGTGCCCGCACCAAGTACCCGCGCGGCTCCGCCCCCCGCGGTCACACCACCCGCTCGGCCGGCGCTGCGTCAGCCCGGCAAGATGGAGACCGTCGAGGAAGGTAGCGCGTTCGACCCGCGATCGCCGCCAACCCGCGGGTCCCGGCCGAAGAGGGGCTCTGCACGGGAAGCCTCGAGGGGTGGAGGGTGGACGTGGGGCCGTGGGGGGGAAACATCACGCGGCCTAGTATTTGCTCTGCTGGCCTGCTGCTGTTTACGCCCGAAGGGGGGACGCTTAGTGTACCGGGCGGCAGGTGCCCGGGCAGGCCTCCCCCCCTATCCCTCCTCTGCTGGGCCCGGCGTGAGGCGGGGGAAAGGGGGAGAGAGAGAGGGCGGGCGGCGCGCACGGGGGTAGCGCGCGCGGGGGTGCCCCTTACATAACCGCGGCCGTTGGGAGCTGGGCGCTGCGCGGCGGTGGGGGCGGGGAGGGCGGTGCTGTGGTAACACGGCGCCCGGCGTGGGGCAGGTCGGGTCGGTCGGTACCCGGTGCGGGGTGCTGCCGGCCTTGGCGCTTGTAGGGAGGGGGCTGTGTGAGAGGAAACCGCGGGAGCCGTGGCACAGCGTGAGAGGCCGTGAGGGAGGGACCAGCCCGAAGCCTGTGTGAAACCCTCGCCAGGTCCCGGCATCGCTTAGGTGGCAGACGCTGTTGTACCCGGCCCTGTAGCTTAGCGAGTGCAAAATATACGCTTCCATCTGAGCAGTAAGAACAGCTTTAGCTGCTGCTTGTTTTGCAGCCTTAACTTTATGCTGAGAAAATGTACTTTGAAAAATGAAATAGTGAAATGATGCAGGGGCTGGCATGTTTTACTGGCTCTTCCACAAGGGGCTGACACATAGCAACTTACCTAATTTTAAAAAGTTAAGTTGTTAAAGAGGTCATAGTCATGTTCTTTTAATGCTTAGTTAGCGTTTTTAAGGTTATTGCTTTACTTGGGATAAACGAGGGTATGTTTCATCAGCACTTTTGCTCGGCTCAGAGAATGTTGAGGAACTGCATAGTTCAAGCTGATGATGCGGAACTTTGATAAGCCAGTAGTTCATATTGTAGTGTAAACCAAAATAAATAAAGGATACGTGTTGTGCCATGTTTCTTGAAGTATTTGAGCTTTGTTTGTCAACCTAAGCAATAACTACAAATACATATTGCAGCAGGGAAGCAGTTCCAAGGAAAGTGCTTTGTGTCTTGGCTTTTGTTGCTTTGGCATAATTCTGAATGTAGTTTTTTTTATCTAGTGGCGCTGGATTTTCCAGCTTGAGAGAATTAAAAAGAAGAAAGCTAAAGAGAATGCAAAACCATGAAACACTGGATGAAGAAAGATGGCACCTGGGTTGTGCTGTAGATATCTTTTGTGCTTATCCAAACTAATATTTATTAAATTAGTGTGTTTAATATCTAACAACTTTTCAGACTGCTTGCTGCAACCTTGGCCTGCCTCAGTAGGCCAGCAGTTGCTCACAGTGGTGAAATTAACAACCTGAAGCTTTGATTGCTTGGCCCGCAGTTGCCTGAAAAACCTGGACTGTTGCAAACTGTGGATTCTTGGAAATGTCCAGCTGAGTTCCCACCACTCCAGTAGTTGGTGAATCCATCTTGGTGGATTTCATTCAGACACTATCTTTGTACCTTGTTACGAGCTGTTATTAACAGTGGTAATGAAGAGAAAGCAGAGAGGGCTGTTGTATCTAAAGGCATTGTCTCGTTTATATATATATATATAAAAAAACACACAAATACATATACATGTAGTCTCAGATATCATTTCATAGCCTTATCAATGTTACCCTTGAAAGCTCTGAATAGTAGCATGAAAGTAAGTAGTCTATATATACACTCACTTTCCATAAATACCACAAGAATGTTACAACTTCTACAGTTTCAGACTTCAGTTCCCACTATTAGAATTTCACAACACTTGCCAGGATGCTGAAGAGGCTTCCCAAGGTTATAAAGCTCTAAACAAGAGTATCAGAAAAGACTGTTTGTGCCTTAAGGAAGAGGAAGTACCTGCTCTGGTGTTGGTGTGTGCCTGAACTCTTGTCGCAGTGTCAGATGCACTTCCTTAGCTGTTGATAGCCCACTAACAACATTATGATCGTTGTGTTTCTGATGGATTTTGTGCTTTACTGAATTACATTGTGGAGCTAGAAAATGTGACTGGATGATGAGAGCTCAGATAAGAGAGGCTGTGGAGGGTAATAAAGGCTAGATCAAAGCAGCAGCTTCACCTCAGAATGGTTGTTTCTTCTCTAGCACCTGAAAGGGACAGATACCAGGTTTTGCTGAGAGGTGCTTCTGTTTCTTTCTAGTTAAATCAGTTTGTTGCAAAATAACAACATCATCTCCACTTTTGAATGCTACCTCAGTGAACATTCAGTTAGAGAGGTGATAGAGAATTGCTCTCTGGGGGAACAAAAAAGAGCTGTTACCCAAGGTCATTCTTTCCAAAACACATACATGAAGGACAGGGCACAAAGTGTCTGTGCAAGTGGAAAAACAGCGTGTATGACGCAGTGGAATTCCCTCTGAATGTGACAGTAGGTCATAAGTAGCTTTACATTTTGGCCCTCAGCAGTGTTTATCGATTTGAAGATACCAGCTGCTTAACAGTCCAGATTGTTAAACTCATAATATGTTTATTTGGATTTATAAAACAAGTGGGAATATCTAGAAAGTCTCATATCCTTTGAAAAAATAAAATGTAGGTTTTACTTATTTTAGTAAGCTAGCAGAAGAAAACCTTTTCCAAAGAAAGAATTAATTTGCTTTCAGTAAATTACATTTTTTCTTCTTAGCAGTCTTGAGGATAAGCGAACTGCTGTGGAAGCCAACAGACCATTAATGACTGGGTTCAGAGATCTCTGGGGCTCTTCCAGAGAGCAGTGTGCTCTTAACTTACTGTCTTTCATGCCAGAGAGTGTTCTTAGAGCAGCGGTTTCACATCCTCTCTCTTGTGCTTGTTTGACCCTTTATGAGGCTTATCCAGTGTACAAAGTTGTCAACTTGCTATAGTTGAAATAGCTCTGTTGGAGGAAATGCCGGAGAAAGGTGGGCATGCTGCAGTCGGTGGGTGGGTCCTGCCTCTCAGATGAAGAGGCCTGTCCTGAGCAGCCATTTGGAAATACTCTCTGTGGCAAAAAAATAATTCATTAGTTGGAGTAGTGGGTCTGGTCGGTCTTGTCCCCAGAGAAACCAGGGGCTCTTGATGTTTGCAGCGATATGTCATTGCCCAATATGGCTGTGACAGAAGTACTCTTTTATGTCTCTTTGTAGCATCTTTAATGTGGTACTGAATACATGTTTTTGTTAATTTGGAGGAGTTGGCATATACAAATAAATTTAAATCTCTTTTTTATAAATAGAAAATTATATTTTTACTTTAGAATCATTTAAATTCTTACACTTTTTGTGTAGAAACTACTCTAATACTGTGCAGACTATGGATATAGAAGAATATTCACATTTGAATGTTTGGTATCTTTTGGAACTTCTTGTAAAAAAAAAACATTAACTTAGAATCATAGAATAATTAGGGTTGGAAAGGACCTTAAGATCATCTAGTTCCAACCCCCCTGCCATGGGCAGGGACACCTTACGCTAAATCATATCACCCAAGGCCTCATCCAACCTGGTCTTGAACACTGCCAGGGATGGAGCATTCACAACCTCCCTGGGCAACCTGTTCCAGTGCCTCTTTCAACCAAGAACAAAGATAAGTGATTCACACTTGGAACTACATATTTTCAATATTCTTACATCAGTACTTTAAGCTGGTAATTTACAAATGAGGGTCTCTGATGTGTTACAGTTTCTGCATGTTACAGTCATGCAGGTTTGCTGGATGGTGGTTGATAGAGAAGTAATTTACAAAAGAGAAAATCCTGAACTTAAAATCTTCTCTAAAAATAGATGGATTGTGTTCGTTTTCTTAATAGAAGTAAAAGAAGTAGTAAAGGGAAGATACCATTTCTCCATAAGTAAATTTACTCAGACGAGCTGTGGATGCCCATCCCTGGAAGTGTTCAAGGCCAGGCTGGATGAGCTTTGAGCAGCCTGGTCTGGTGGAAGGTGTCTCTACCTGTGGCAGGGGGTGTGAATTAGATGATCTTTAATGTCACTTCCAACCCAAACTTGTCTATGATTCTGTGAAATCAAGAACTTGTTTTCTATTTACATTTAGTTGTGTATTTAAATGCTCTGGATAACTGAGTGGTATTAAAATACCATCTGTTCTTTAGAGGGAGAGGTTTACACTCATTTTTTTGTCCATAAAACATTTTGCACACTTAGGTGTAAGAAAATGTCAAAAAAAAATAGAATAAAGAAGGTGTGGGACTTACTGGAATATTAATGAAATTGAAATAATGAAATAAGAAGTGGAAAATGTCTTTCCTTTTGTGACTAGACTGTAGATTGCTAAATGGATGGCCTTATTCAACTGGAGTAAACTTAATACTCACAGAATACCTATTTCTGTTTATTTTGATGGATTATTTTTTTCCCTTAATCAGGAGCACCAAGGACCATCCATGTTAGGTTCAAGAGTAGCAAGTGGCATGTCTAAGTCATTGTTAGGGTTAGTAAATCTTGTCTGCTCAGTCTTCATTTAAGTTGTCCAAAACGTAAATGATTTTTTTTCCATTTTAAAGTCTCTGCTTGCTGGAAGATTATCCTTAACACTTATGTTTGTTTAGCAATAACGTTTTTAGGCAAAGAGCACTTCTGTGTGGAGTTTTACTGTATTTATTTCCTAGAAATCGTAAAAATACACTTCTGAGGTGTTGGTTGGTTGGTTTTGGTGTGGGTTTTTTTTTTTTTTTAATAATGCAAACAGGCAGATAATATTTTTCTTGCTTTTTTTTGGTGATCTCTTAGACTTCATGTCCTGCTTCAGATGAAATCTCTTTCATCCTCTTTCAATGTATTCTAGCTTGATTTTGCTACATGGCAAAGCTTCTGGAATTTAACTGTATAATTTGTCTTGTAAATTTGACTTCTTTAAGCAGCAGTGTAATAAGCTTTGTGTCCTTGTCAGCAGATATATGCAGAGTCTGTCGGTCTGAAGGAACTCCTGAGAAACCTCTCTATCATCCATGTGTGTGTACTGGGAGTATTAAATTTATTCATCAGGAATGGTGAGTTCTGTCTTTGTGGGGTTTTAATTATTTGTTGTTAATAAAACACATCACATGTTTCTAAAACCAATACATCCTAAGTCTTCAGGTTAGCTAGTAAGAAAATCCAGGTTTTGCCAGAAGTGTTAGGGGTTTGATGTTTTTTATTTGATGGTTCATTACAGTTCACAAAGAATTTACTGATTTTACTGAAAAGGAAGTACTGACAATTGTTTGTGTTTAGGACTACAGTTCTGCTCATATGTCAGCTTTATGAAAACTGAGCAGAAAAGTCAGTATGCTGGGGCATTTTCTGCCCAATTCTAGTTGTGAATAAAAAGAACAACTAACCTCATAGCAAGAAATAAAAATACCGTAGTACTTTCGGATCATTTTGAGGTGTGTGTTTCATCAAGGAAATTAGCTGAAGTGAAAACAGTAGTCGTGGCCTAAAGCACACATTCCTTTTGAAGGTATTTTAATAGCCATTCTTTTGCAAATACAAGAGTTCTAAATCTTAGCTGGGTGCATATATGTGTCATCTCAAAGTATTTATAAGGAATAGTGTCACTTGTTTGTGTCCATGCTGGGATATGTTTCAGTTTATTAGCCTTTTTAATAACATACTCCAAGAATGTACTTTATCAATAAATAAAGTGATGGACTTGAGGAATTGCTATTTCTCATAGTCAGCTTATCTTTATAACTTTACGAAACTTACTTGATGGCCTAAATGGCATTAATAAGCGTGCTGATTGAAGTCCTGCTTGATAGTACAAGTAGCCTGATTTATGTTTGAAAACAGAGAATTACTGTGTTTTCCTTAAGGGAGGGGTAAAGCAGGAGATGTAATAGCATGTGTTAATATGATCACTTTTTATTGCAGCTTAGTTCAGTGGCTTAAACACAGCAGAAAAGAATACTGTGAATTATGTAAGCACAGATTTGCTTTCACACCAAGTAAGTGTTTTACTCCTCCTATTTTTTTTTTTAATTTCTTTTGTTATTTTTATCTTAGTATATGTGAAATGTTTACTTTTTCACTCAGCGTGGTAGATCTAAACTTGCATTTTAACATACATTCTTGTTTGAATTGCAGTTCTTATGCATATTATTGCAGACTGTGAATTGTTTAAATAATGGATAATCTGGTCTTTTATAATCTTACGTGAGCCATAAAAGAAGTGTTGTTCTGCACCTTTTGTGACTGCTTCAGTCCCATTCTTTTGTTGCCAACATTACAGCATATGTCATGTTTTCAGCTTCATTGATAGATTTTGAGTATTTGAAAGTTTGAATGTTAGGGTGAAACCACAGTAAAATTTGAATTTGAAAAACAGTTGTTAGTTGCCTTTGAACTATCCATCTGCAACACTACCACCTGACTTCTCTGTCAGTTTAGATTCAAATGATCTTGACAGATAATGCAAAAAAATGCTCCACTTGTATTTCAGTCAAAATATAGTAAATGTCCAATATTGCATCACTTGTTATGTTAGATTCAACTAAGTAAGTTACGCAGCTTATGGTGAACAGCGGTATCTTTATGTAGTTCCCAGAGGATTCTTAATTACATTCTAACCGATAGTAGTAGAAATAAATTAGGTCATTTGGCTTGGTGGCAGGCTAGGCTCGTTATTTAGTATTGCCAGCTTACTGCCTGTTGAACAGGTAAAGCGGTTCTTGTATACCTGTTTTTCTCATTAAATCTATTTGTGCCAATTTATTCTTTGCAGCTGCTGAGCTCAATTCTTCATAGTGCAGACATGTTTTTTAAAAAAAACAAACTGTTGAGTATCTGCACTGTTCATGTCTTGAGAAAAAAGAGGACACGAAGCTCTAATTGAAATGCACTTTATATGTGTGTTACTATTTGCACTAGAAAGCTTGTTCACTGTCCTTATCAACAGAAATGTTCCTGCAGAAGTTTAATCCTTGCCTGACACAGCTGTTGGTAGCACAGCTTGTAATGTAGCTGCAGTTTATGGACATATGAGAAAACGTAATTGAATTACTGTGGTTTTAACAAGTTAGCATTTGTCAGAGGAGCCTTGAAATTGGTAGTAAGTGAACCTTTTTCTTCACTGTGTAATAAAGCACTTCCTCCACATTCAGCCTCTAGCAAAGGTCGTCTTATCCTCCTGTCACACACTGGCCACTCCCCAGGCTGAGCACCTTCAGCTGGTAATGTTTTCTTCTTCCCATTGCACATTGAACAGTGTGGTTTGGTTGGTTTGTTTTTCTTTTCTGCCAGGCTGCACACAGTAGCGTATGTCAGGTATCTAGCACAGATTCCTCCAGCCCTCTCTACCCAGCGCTTCTTGTTTCATTGTTTCCCTCATACCCAGCACTCATGCAGTTACAGTTTCCTTAGTTTCTCTTACCCTTCTTTATTTGGACTCTAATGTGGATGTGCAGTCTGGAAGCTGGGTCTCTTTGCAGGAGCTGGGAAAGAGTCACTGGTGCTGGGGAGAGAACGATAAGGCAGAGGCAGGATTGATGTATGTGCCAGTCATCCAGAACGAAGGTGGATCTGGTCTATAACCATGTCATGTTTAAATCACTTTCAGATATAATTCTCCACAGGATGTGGTTGCATAAACACATGTATATAATTAGAATCTGTGCTTCAACAGACGTGCAGTAAGAGTGCAGAGAATAATAGTGCAGTAATAGCAGCTCCTCCTCTTTTAGTTTAGCTTGGTTTTCTTGTTAAGGCTGTTGCTGTCATCCTGTCAAAAAGGCTCCTTTGCTAGCATAACTTTTTGCATATGGAGTATTCATAAAATATTCCTAGGGCATATATTCTTTAAGTTTTGTAACATCTTGTGACTTCTTTAGCACCTGAGCTACAAAGTTAGTTACTGTTTGTAGAGGAAGGAAAGAGTAGAACTTGCGTCTTGGCAGGAGTACAAAGGAACTGATTTTTCTTCTGGATAATAGCACCATTCTCTCAAAATGTTTAGTCATGTAGGCTAATGACTCTATTTTCAAATGCACACTTTGAAGCTAAATTCATGTTTTAAATACTCATTTTCTGCAGTTCTCCAGTTACAAATTCATACAGCTGTTTTAAAAAGTGATTGTTCCTTTTTAACCAGGATGTTTTCTTTCTGAGTTTTTAAAGAGCCAGCTACTGTGTATTCTTTTCCTCCCTACACATGCACTTTTTTTTGTCATGTGCTAGGGTGCACTTTTCTTGATGCTACACTAAATGTTCGTAAGCACTCACCAGTGAAAGACTGCATTTCCCAAGAGAAGATAGTTTTCAAAACTTCTCTTTTCTGTAGAAGGTAACAGTAACATAAATATTTTTAAAAACACAAATATGGAGGTAGACTAGCCTGATCTTTGTCTGGGGATTGGGGTTTATTTCTCTGCTTTCTAAGTGGTCATTATGATGTCACAAGCATAGCTAGTAACAAAGATTGTAAAATAGAAGGAGGGTACATGGGTAGGCTACTCTTCAGTTTATAAATTATTTTATAATAAGCTTTTGATTATTGCATGCATTGTTACTAGTTCAAGGGTTGCATATATTTGGACCTAACTGTATTGCTGTAATCCTGTTTTGTTACTGTTCTTCCTCTTTCTTGTTATTTGCCACCTTTGTTCACATGTAATAGTTAATAGGAAAGTTTGTTGGATTGGGAACTGTTTGTTCCTTTGATCATTTGGATTGATTGGACTCCTAAACTATCCTATGGCATACTGAGATTCTCCACATTAAATACTTACGGTTGTTGTTTGGGGTTGTTTTGTGTTTTTTATTAAGCCATAAGCCTTGATACTTTTATTGATCATCTTTAAAGCCTTTTGGATGTGACTAACCTATCTAGCTTAATATGAAAGTGTTCATGGTTCACAGATTTAAAGGCAAAGAAAAATTAGTAGCTCTCTGAAATAATTGTAAATTATTAAATTATATGTTTGTATTTTTAAGAAACTTGTGCAAAAACCAGCCCTTAGTAATTGCACGTTGTTTGTAGACTTCATTAAGTTCCAAGCGTTTGGATCTTTAATTTTGTACAAAACTATCTGTAGGAAGGTATGTAATTATACTAAGTGACTTGGGCTTGTTATTTGAAGTAATTAAGATTTTATTGACAGATATAATGGGCTGATTTTTTTTTTTTTTTACTTGTTCATTTTGACAAACTTTAATACAGTAGCCCATAGCGTCAGCATTTCTAGAAACTGTAGTTTGGAAAACCAAACTTCTGAAAGAAAATACTACATGCTGGCACAGAATTCAACATGTCTGCTGCCAGATTCAGGGTGTAGGGTAAACATGCAGGTGAGATACATTCAAGTGTCATGTCATATGTTTTATTAGAGCCATGGCTTGCATGAGAAGGGGTGGCATTTTTTTCCTTTACCTTAGAAGTCTGCAGCAAAGTCTGTATATGTCTCAAAAGTGTGAAACAGAAACATAGAATGATTCGTGTTGGAAGGGTCTTTTGCAGATCATCTTATCCAACCTAAAGAGTAACTCACAACCCCTGTTTTACCAAACCACTGCTTTAATCCATCATTTATAAAACACAAAGTTTTGCTTCCGAGTTACACAGTCTGGAATGGTTTGCCCAGGGAAGCTGTGAATGTTCCATTCCTGGCAGTGTTCATGGCCAGGTTGGACAGAACCTTGGGTGACACCTCACATTAGTGTGAGGTGTCCCTGCCCATGGCAGGGGGGTTGGAACTGGGTGTTCTTAAGGTTGTTTCCAACCCTACCTGTTCTGTGATTCTTATTTCATGATCAGTGCACATGGATGAGGGAGGTGGCTTCTAAATGGCTTGCAAGTGTAATAGTGAATAGCAAATTTATGGGTAAGAGGACTCTTTAAGTATGGAGATTCTGTGAAGTAGGTTAAATGTTTTACCTAATCAAAGGAAGATGTTTTACTTTCTTCCATGCTAGGTATGCACCCATTCAGGTTATGGGAAGTAAATAGGTAGACTTGAATGGGAAAAGAGTGAGACATGAAATAGGATGCAGTTGCACTGTGGCAGCTTGTCTTCTCTGAGTAGTAGATGTGCTGTGCATTTATTTGAATGTTCAGTTGTAATCCTAAAGCCCTAGAAAAGTGAGTATGTAGAGGTGCTAACATTTACAACCACTTCAGTTTTCCTGAGTTGAGCATCCATTTTCTACAATCCCCTGTGTAAGTGTTGAGTAATTCCTGAAATATGCATTTTTCTAAAAAAACAAACAAACAAACAAAACTTTAAACCATCCCAGCTTCTCCCTAATAAATAAATGATTAATGCAAAGTTAATGTTTTCCTTGTAGGCTCTGTTAAAGTTCCAAAGTGTTGAGTAAAACACATTTTTGTAAAATGAAAAAAATAAGCCTCTTGAGTGTCTGCTGAGTACAGTTTTGTTTCAGTTGGCATTTTCTATAGTACTGCCAAATTGTATACTAAATCCATTTTTGTAATAAGAAAATAGTAACTTGGTAGATAGTGTCAAAACATGTTTCTGTCCTGCTTTCTTTTACTGCTTTATGTTCTCACAGCTACACTTCCCTAGCGCTATGTTTGTAGCCATCTTTTTTATAAATTCCAGTTCCTTGCCAGATACCTGACAACTGAGAACCTTTGAAATTTAAAACAAGTTACTGTTTGCGTTATGGTTACTGTTTTGTTGTTAATTTGTGTCAAATATAATCCACATGTTGAAATGCACCAATCTCTCCACATTCTTTGACTACTTATGCACATTGATACTACTTCTCTATGTTCTTGAGGGTTTTTTTACAATACAGAAACTATGGGAAATATCCCTGGAGAGAAAAGAGAGGTTTTTTTTTCTCCTACAGAAGCTTACTCTCTGAGATTAATAAATGATTAGGAGTGTAGGTAAAGATAGTAAAGATGTTCATTAGAGAAAATGAGGGGATGCAAGTGGGTTGTATGAAGCAGTATTTCTCAGACTTCAAATGGTTGTCCATGAGAGGGAAGGAAAACTTTTTTCTAGTCATTCTTACAAAACTTACATTTCTTTATGTAGTTATAAGCATGTGATTTTTTTTTTTTTTCTTTTTGAAAAGTAGTCCGTTTATTAAATGTGTGAAAGTCTTCAAGCTCAGCTGTTTTCAACATAACTTAAATATCCAGGCAGCAATGTCTTTGTGCAACTTCTAACTGTAGTTTATCTTCTTTATTCAAATCTGTGATTGAAATGTAATGAAATGTAATGTAATCATTAGAGATAAATGTTTTCTAATTGTTTGCAAAAGAAGAAACTCTGTCACTGTTTTTCTTGGCTTTTGAGTAAGGACAGGTTTATGTAATATATAGGTGTTGAATTTAAAAGTTGTGAAAATATACTATTATGAAAATGTAGTGGCTGAGAGATTTGCATTGTGTTCTGTAATAGGAGTGACCTTTAAAGAAGTCTTGCATGATATGAAATAGATATCTGTTGAAAGTAAAAGGCATTCTATGTAAATTTCAAGGTCTGTAAATACTCGGTTACCTTCTGTTTTCCTGTCTGTGAGGTGCTCTCATTTTCCCCTTTTTTTTGATTTTGTGCTGTTGGATAGCAGGTAGGAATCTAAGTTACTTAATACAAACAGATTGTCAGTATACAAAACTGCTAATTGTTCTTGTTCCTTGTACTCTTTCCTTGAACTAAGTTTATGAGTAACATACAGGGATATCTTTGAGGTACTGCAGAGTAGGAGGGCTGCTGAATTTAGAATCTGCTTTTTCTTGCAGGCTTGAGCTTATTTTGAGATAATCAGTTTCCAGTTGATAAAACTATTAAGAAAACTTCTCCAAGTCAAGAACTAGCATGGAGTTTATTAATTTTCTCCTTCCACTCAGTACACAATGTAACAAATGTATCATGTGAAGTTTTTTCTGTTGTTTGTTTGGGGTCATCTCTTGGGAATCTGTAAAATGTGCTTATTCTTCTAGTAAGCTTTTGCCAAACACGAGCATTTTGTAGTTGGCAGGAATTTTACATAAATGCTTCTTATAAAGGAAGAACTGTTTCATAAGTGCATTTTCTACACAGTTTATTCCCCAGATATGCCTTCACGGCTTCCAATCCAAGACATCTTTGCTGGACTGGTTACAAGTATTGGCACAGCAATACGATACTGGTTTCATTATACACTTGTGGCCTTTGCATGGTTGGGAGTAGTACCTCTTACTGCATGTAAGTATTAATTTTTTGTACTGTAATAGTCTTGCAGGCAGGAAAATACGCCGCTTCCTGCAGCAAAGTTTTGTGAGATCATTGTTGGTTTATTAAAAAAATAATAAATCTTAAGTTTGAAGACATTATTTCACTTATGTATTGCTTGGAAGTTCTAGCTGCTTGACTCTTATGCCAGTAGTGCAATGCAGGAAGGTGTTAAGAGATAGAAGAAAATGCATAAAAGGGCTTTAAAACTTCTTATTCCAATAAAATGCCTCTTTTCAGTTATCTTATTTCATGGACCTTTTTATTTTATACCATTTAATAGGATAGAAGAATTGTCCTGGTTTTTCTAACTATCTATAAATCAAAGTGCAGTATTTATTTTTACTTTTTAGTATGAAACCCAAAATCCCTTTACAGTCATACATAAATTGATTAGTAAAGCTCCTCTTAAAAAAAAAAAACTGAAATAAAGAACTATGAGTACTAAAGGAATTCAGTAGAAAAAGAGCACGTGTTTAAACTACTGTAGTATTCAGTTTGAAATTTACTTTTCAAAAACAAATGGAAAGAGAACTGTTGATGTTTCAACAAGCTAAAAATATAGAGAAGATAAAAAGAGGTAAAAGGGATATAGTGTTCAGTGAAGGAAATGATTGGAAGTGCATCTTTCCAAACAGTAATTACCCCTTTAACAAAATAGTACTGAGGCAGTACATGCATCTCCCTAGACAGTTTCTCAATATGTTCTGTGCTTTTATTTGTAGCTGGCACTGACTTAGTTTGGGAATAGCACAGTACTGGCAGCTATGAAAAAGTGATCCTGTTTCTGCTGCCTCTCCTTCCTGTGCAAGAAAAGGAACTTTTCTAGGGCTTGAGAAAACAAGATTTACAAATTGAATTAGCACTAAAAAAGATCTGAAAATTCTTCCTTAGGTTTTTAGATGAATCTTGATTTTTTTAGCACTTTCTTTCAAAATGCAAATATTGTGCATTTTTCTTTCTAAAGCTTCTGAAGGACAGCAAAATTATATTCAATAGCTTAATTAAGGTAGTTATGTTTCATAACTGTCTGAAAACCTGATGCTGGCTCTTCAGTAACACTGAAATGTTACCAGAAGTCACCACCTACATCATTGTTATGTAAGAGTTGGGGGGAGGTTGTTTTGGTTTTGTTCTGTTTTGTTTTTTTCTTACAAATGTCATTTTGGGGTTTTAATGCTTGTTTAATAAACCAATATAACTTATCTATGATTTTGATTTACAAGTGACCAGTTTGTTTTGTGGGGTTTTTTTTTACTTTGTCTTAATTTCTGTCTCTAACGTTGCGCATATATCCATGTTTGTGGATTCCTTTAAGAATTAATATACTGTGAAGGGTAATGTATTTACACAGGATGGTATCCAACGTGATAGGTTCATTCAGTCTAACAAACCTTGAAAAATCCATTTACTTCTGAAATTTGTCAGTCTCTGTCTTGAATTGATTTTGTATAATTCTTGGCTTCTTACTTCAAATGCCTGTAATGTAATCTTTCGTTTTCTGTAATACCTAAATACTTTTTAATGTAATCTTTTGCCTTCCCTGTTTCTCTCATATGGTTCATAATTTTGTGAGACTGGTTTCGTAAGGGATATTCTTCTCATTATATCTGGAAGAAGAAAGCGCAGCATAAAAGTTGTCAAACATACCAAATGAGATGTATGGTTGAACAAATTTGTCTTCCAGATTAACTTGCTCATCATGCAGTTATCCCATTGTAGGGTAAATTCCACATTCTTTTTTGGTAATTTCACTTCTTTATTGTGTACATGCCCTATATGGTTGAGTAAAAGGAATTTATCCATCTGTGCATACCCTCAGCCTAATCCCAGCAGGTTATGATATGCTGTTGCTGTTGTGTTAACATAAAGTGTATTTACATTAGTGCATGAGAAAGCCAGTTATAAAAAAAAATAAAAAATAAACTGTAACCAAAATCTAATTTATACCATGCGTCTGTTTGTACATGCAGGTCGTATCTACAAGTGCTTGTTTACTGGCTCTGTGAGCTCACTACTGACACTGCCATTAGATATTCTATCAACGTAAGTACTTAAACAGTTTGATACAAATAACTTTTCCAGTCTGATTACTGTGAAAATGGTTGCTTTGGAACGTCGCACCCCTTTCTTCCAGTTGTGCTTATTATCTTCCATCATCTTGCGTGAGCAGCTGTCTGTTACCCTTTGCAAAATGAGATATGTAGCTAAAGTATTACAGTAGAAATCATTTTACTTTGAAGTTCTGTTATGCAGGATCTTTGGAGATGGAAAGCTGATTTTAAAAAATGGGCCCTAGGTAATGAAGTTTTGTATTTGAAGCCAAGAAAACTTACACTGCAAAATTATACTTAATAATTAAAAAAAAATATTTTCCTGCAGTATGACTCAGATGCCACATAGTAGGATATTAATATATATTGCTAATAATATATTAGCAATATATTTTGCTAATTCTGTTTGCTTTGTTACATTTTTACTTTTATCCACCTGGGTCTCTTATGTGATAGAGACTTTTTTTAATTTTTTTTTCCTTCTCAATTTCCTTCTACCTGACACTTAGTTTTGAGTCAATCACCATATGCTATTGAATATTGTCTATCTTTGTCTTTTTATAAATCAGTTTTACTTAAAACAATAAATACCAACATAACAAAGTTTCAGGCTGGTTCTTACTTTGTTTTATTATCTTGAACATGAGAAACTGAAACTGTTTGAGTAGAATCTAGTAAATTTTGAGTGAATGTCCTGTGCTGTGCAGCTGAGCCATCTCACTTGGGCTATTTGATTTGAGACATCAGGTGATGTTAATTGTTTTTTATTAATAAAGAGAAACGCTAGCTTGAGATTAGTAGCAGTGTTTTTCCTGTTATCTCCCAGTAAGTTTAGATTTTTGAGAAGAATCTGAAACAACTGAACCCAGCACCTGTTCTTGTATTTTTTGTAGTCTAGGGAGAAAATAAAGGACTCTAGTGTCCGGTTGTAATGGCATGTGAAGCTGTGCTTTGACACATATTTCTTTGATAGAGTCAATGATAATAGCGTTTTGCATCGTTTCATTTTAGACATCCTGTCCCTGTGGTATTCACTCTGCTGTGCAGGCACAAGCGTTTGTGTGGCTGCATTGAGAGCTAGACTAACACTTCTCTAGGGGTGGCAAAATGCTATGGTGGCATATTTTAAAGAACATACTGTAATTAGTTCCCTAAGCAAATCCACTGTGGTCAAGGAGTAGTGCAAGGGTGGAAACAAGTGAGAGGGGGTACCTGGAATTAGGGATGAGAGTTGATTAAGCCAATTTAAGTACCTTTGCATTGCATGAAACCCTACTTTCAGTTGGCTAAGTGCATTTTACTTTACTGCTGCTTTACAGTTATGTATGTTTTGATAAATGAGGATTTTTAAAGTATAAAGATAATAGATGGGGTAAAGACTACCTGAAATAGAGCTGTGGAAGACAAACCCTGCAGTTCCATTCTTTTGGTTAGGGTAGCTCAGCAGGTTAAATGTTTCAGTGGAGTGGATATTGTGCATCTAGCCATTGAAACAGAGCTTTTACTGTAGCATTTACTTAGCAACTATTGTATTTCCTTTGCTATTTTTGAAGATTGTTTTTCCTGAACTATTCTTGAAGCTTTTTTTCATATTGAGTCAAATCCCGTTTTGCAGGGGTATTTACGTTTAAACAGTAATTTCACAAACCAAACGAGAGGGAAATAAAATCTGTTCCAAATCAGTGTTTATCTTGGCATTAAAACCATTTATATGCAGGTATATACAGCCTTCCTAAAAGAAACTTGGTTTTGCATGATTTCTCAAAATTAATTAAAAATTACATCTAGATACAGAGCAGTCAGTCTCACCTGTGTACCTGGCAAAATCTTGGAGCAGATTCTCCTGGAAAGCATGCTAAGGCACATGAAAAACAACAAGGTGCTTGGTGACAGCCAGCATGGCTTCACTAAGGGGAAATCCTGCCTGACCAATTTGGTGGCCTTCTATGATGGGGCTATGGAACTGGTGGACAGGGGTAGAGCAGTTGATGTCATCTACCTGGACTTGTGCAAAACGTTCGACACTGTCCCACATGACATCCTTGTCTCTAAATTGGAGAGACATCAATTTGATGGATGGACCACTCGGTGGATAAAGAACTGGCTGGATGGCTGCACACAAAGAGTTGTGGTCAATGGCTCAATGTCCGGCTGGAGACCAGTAACGAGTGGTGTCCCTCAGGGATCGATTCTGGGACCGGTCTTGTTTAACATCTTTGTCGCTGACATGGACAGTGGGATTGAGTGCGCCCTCAGCAAGTTTGCCGATGACACCAGGCTGTGTGGTTCGGCTGATAACGCTGGAGGGAAGGAATGCCATCCAGAGGGACCTCGACACGCTTGTGAGGTGGGCTGATGCCAACCTCATGAAGTTTAACCATGCCAAGTGCAAGGTCCTACACCTGGGTCAGAGCAATCCCAGGCACAGCTACAGGTTGGGTAGAGAGGAGATTCAGAGCAGCCCTACTCTGACTTGGGGGTGTTGGTCAACAGAAAATGAACATGAGCCAGCAGCCCAGAAAGCCAACCGTATCCTGGGCTGCATCAAAAGGAGCGTGACCAGTAGGTCGAAGGAGGTGATCCTCCCCCCCTACTCTGCTCTCGTGAGGCCTCACGTGGAGTATTGTGTGCAGTTCTGGTGTCCTCAAGATAAAAAGGACATGGAGCTGTTGGAACAAGTCCAGAGGAGGGCCACGAGGATGATCAGGGGACTGGAGCACCTCCTACATGAAGACAGGCTGAGAAAGTTGGGGCTGTTCAGCCTGGAGAAGAGAAGGCTGCGTGGAGACCTCGTAACAGCCTTCCAGTATCTGAAGGGGGCCTATAGGGATGCTGGGCATGGACTCTCCATTAGGGACTGTAGTGATAGGACAAGGGGTAACAGGTTAAAACTTAAACAGGGGAAGTTTAGATTTATATAAGGAGGAAGTTCTTTACTGTGAGGGTGGTGAGGCACTAGAAGGGGTTGCCCAGGGAGGTTGTGAATGCTCCATCCCTGGCGATGTTCAAAGCCAGGTTGGGCCGAGCCTTGGGTGGTATGGTTTAGTGTGAGTTGTCCCTGCCCATGGTGTGGAGGATGGAACTAGATGATCTTAAGGTCCTTTCCAACCCTAACTGTTCCGTGATTCTATGGCATATAAATAAATAAAGCTTTTTTTGCACAAATACCAGTTTATTTGTTGATTTGGACTAGGAGGTTATATTTCTGGTAGTTACAATGACTAAATTTACTAAATTAGCAAAATATATTTGTCATTAATATTTTGGTTTGGGATGTTTTTCTTTTTTTAACAGGGAGAACTTGCTAGCTGACTGTTTGCAGGGGTGTTTTGTGGTAACTTGCACTCTGTGTGCATTCATCAGCCTTGTTTGGTTACGTGAACAGATTGTCCATGGAGGAGCACCACAATGGTTGGAACAAAATCAGCAACAGCCACTCAATGGTGTTGGTCAACCAAATGAGGTAAAACTTAACTGCTCAGTAGTTAAGTGCTGTTGTGAATAAATACATTCTCAGAACCCAACAGTAATGTTATTTTACTGCAGGGTTTCTTTGTACCTTAGTAGAAGTTGAACCTGTGTTCCTGTATAAACTTGGTGATATCACTGTTATGTTTTTGAAATTCTGTAAAATTTTAATGGATGTTATAGTATGTTTTTGTAAACCAACTGTAATGTTTTTACGTTCTTATGTCTTTATCTTTACACTTTTTAAGATAATTTTGTAAAGCCGAGCTGTCAGCCACAATCAGGGAAGATACAGCTTGCTTTTGTTTTTTTTCTCGTATGTATTTCTGTAGTTCATGAGGTAACAATTCATTGTTTTCAAAGCAGTTGGAGGTGTTGCTGGAACTTCTGAAGTTGAAGCTTCTCTGCCCTCCCCCGTTCTCCCAACCACATGCAGCACCGCTTTACTGCTTACAGGACCCTCTTGGGCAGCAGCAGAGATAGGCAGCATGTGCATAGGGAGGAAATAATTAGAATTTTTTCTTTTGTAATAAATGTCAGGGTTTTTTAAAGACAGATGGAGGTCCTCAGCTTGATGACTGGCTTGGGTTGTCCTTGAATTACAATGACAGCTTTCATAAGAGAGCTCCCCTGTCTTGAGCAGTGGTGATATCACATCTAGAGTGCTGTATTTAGTTTTAGGCTCGCCCTTGTACAAGAGACATGGGCATAGTTGAGTGCATGCTGTGAAGAGCCAACAAAAGTGGTTGAAGGACTGGAGCATCTGGCATGCTGTGAGAGGCTGTGAGAGCTGTAACTGTTCATCCTGGACATGAAAAGGGCTGGGGTAGACTTTCCCAGTATGTATAAATGCCTGATTGAAAGATGTAAAGAAGACAGAGCCAGCGTCTTCTTGGTAGAATTGAGTGACAGGACAACAGACAGTAAGCTCAAATCAAAACACAGGAAATTTCATTTAGACCAAAAAAGCCCTAAGCAAACAAAGAAATAAACAGCCCCCAGACAAACAAAACCAACCAACCAGAACAATCTGGATACCGGTTTTGGGTTTTTTTTTGGTTTGTTTGTGTTTTATTTCTTGATTGGGGTTTTGTTGGATTTTGTTCCTTTTCTGTAAGTGTGATCAATTACTGAAACAGGTTGCTGGGGGAGGTTGTAAAGTATCCATCTCTGGAGACAGTCAAAAGCCAACTGCAACAGGACCAGCCAACCTGCTCTAGCTGACCATTCTTTGGGTTGGGTTGACTTAGATGATCCTTAAAGGGTCTTTCCAGTCTCAGCTTTCTGGGAAGAAGTCTGATTTTTATCTTCCCCTTTTAAAAGGTTTAGTAGTCCCAAATTTAATGTTTGTCTAAAAAAAAGAGACATTAATAAAATATTTTAAAATACTCTTATTTTTTCTATACGCAGAATAAGTGTACGGAGTGAGGTTGATCAATTTAACTGAATACTAAATCCTGTTTCTGCAGGCTCAGGCTGTTGTCAATGGAGGTGTTGAAAATGCTGTGCTGGATCAACCTGCTAACCCAGCTGCTGAGAATGCAGTTGTAGGTGAGAACCCTGAAATTCAAGAAGAACAAGTAGATGAAGAGGAGGAGGATAATGAAGATGAAGAAGATGCTGTAGTTGAAGATGCAGCAGATGCAAACAATGGAGCACAAGGTAACAGGTGACTCAAAACAGTAATGTTCTAGTTCTTTGTAAATACAAGTGAAACCATCAAAAACAGAGCTGTCATAATTCAAAGAAGCTGTGAAAATTCCCACTTCAGCTTGGGGGATTTTTGCTGTTTTTTGTAAAATTCATATACTTCTTTTGAGTGTTTTTGTTTTTTGTAAAATTCATATATTTCTTTTGAGTGCTGGATCATTTGCTTGCAGAAAAGCTGTCAGCAGTTACAAGTTGAATATTATGCACTTAAGTCTTTTTGTTCATTTAAAACATAGCATGGAGTGGTTGCATCTTATTTTGTGTGAGTCTAACAGCTGCAAAAATGGCCATTGTTTCCTCAGATGACATGAACTGGAATGCTTTGGAATGGGATCGAGCAGCAGAAGAACTTACTTGGGAGCGAGTGAGTAAGAATAATTTTCTTGAATTGAATAATGAAGACCCATACTTGAAATTATTTGTAGTATTGCTGTGTTAAAATCCATTTGGGGTAAATGTTGATACCATTGGGTAGTGTGAAAACTACCAGCAAGAGGCTTTAGTAATCTAAAACTCATTGTATTTAAAAGCCAAATGTTATTATGCTACTTGTTAACTATCCAAAAGGCGTTTCTTTGATTTGAAATATAGCAGCAGCTTAAAACAAGACTTATTTTAAGCACAGACTTTTCTGAAGTTTTCAACTTGGTCAGGTTTAGAAATGAATTGCAGCTTGCACTGAGGATGTTAGGCCAGATTAGGAGCACATAGGTATTGTGTTATATGTAGATTAATTCTTAATCTTTGTATTCATGAAAGCATTAAACTAAAGAAATTTATGTATTTGCAAACGACAAATATATTTCTTAAAACATTATGGAGCATTTTAATATAACGTTGCATCTGTTTTGTTTATGGATCATAAATCCCTTAATTAAAGCATGAAATAATGTGCACTGTAATCATAGAGTAATGTAGAGACTCAAGAACTAGTTTTTTGTAGCTGGTTTAGAGGTAGCCAATATTTGAGTTCAAAGTTCACATGGCAGCAAAATCTACTTGAAGGTAGATAGAGCAGCTTCATGGGATTTACCAGCATTGTTTACTAATGCCTATTGCAAACGGTTGTAAAACTAGTCATTGTGTTGCCAGGCTGTGATACAATTGTTGCCGTGATTGCCGTATAGTAGAAATAAATTTTTCATCATAAGGGACAGGTCTTCAACTTTGTTTTGTATCTAGTGAAAAATTTTTGTTTTGAAAGATTTTTAGTGAAAAAGGGCATGCATAAATTCAGGTTTACTGAACCATTCTGGTGCAGATCTCAAAATGAAAGTGTTATGTTTCCGAACCCTGTTTATGTGCTGGGAAATGTTGATGTACTCTTAATTGAAAATACTTTGATGCCTCTCCAGGAATATAAATTGGCTTCATAACCATTTCCCATCCTACATGCTGGCATAGGCAATAGCCATCTACTTGGCATTTAGTATCAGAAGTGAGGTAGAGTTTTCTGTTATTTCATCTTGTGAAAATAGTATGCAAGCTTTCTGAATTTTTTGAAAATACTTGCATCTTGGTTTATTTTGTGAAATATGTGTAACTTAGTGCAAAATCCTGGTTAAAAAAAAATAGCCTTGATCCTGGTTCTTCACAGCAGTAATCATGGAGTAGAAGTGTCTGTATTAAAATAGTAAGAAAACCACAAAGTAGAGGGAAAAGGAAAGATTTTTGTTATTTTTTTTTAATAGATGCTTTACTTCTGCCTATTCTTTGGATGCTTCCCATAACAGCTGTGCAGTGTGATGGAATTTGATTCCTGTCTTCCCTAGCTGTAGACCACTTGTGCTCTAAATTTAATTATATAGTGTAGCAACATTAGCCTGTTACTAGTTGCTTTTATACATTGAAGGTAAAATACAAACCTTTTAATTTTCTCAGTGCAACATAAACTGATACCTTGCAATTAGGAAGAAAAAAAAAAATGTTGCTCTTGTGTTTTAATGTTGTTTAAAAATCAGTTCAATCACTAAAATGTTCTGAACATAGAAAATCTTTGTCAGTCTTCAAAGTCTTAGAGTGAAATAGCCTATAAATTGATTATCTGTATGGTCTGCAATATATAAATACAAGTGTATTAAGATATTCCACATGTATATCAGTGCCTTTGATCAACTGAGTTTACTTTGTTGAATGAGAACTTACTGTGAGAATTTATGTCCTGGTTCTCTTGGTTGAGCAATTAAAAAAAAAAAAAAAAAGCTTTTGCCTGTATTGGACATAAAAAGTTGGTTTGAAAGAGACTTCTATGAGACTTATTTTAGATGCGTGTTGCTTAGTTTTCCTAATGAATAAAAAAAAAAAAATCAACTTTCTTATTTTCCCAGATGCTTGGACTTGATGGATCTCTGGTTTTTTTAGTAAGTGAAATCCTGCATTTCAAGAATTTCTATAGAAGGCTTTTTTTTTTTTTAAGTAAAACTAGTTTTTAAAATTACATCATTCTATTTGAAGTCCCTATTTTTATATAATACGTATTCAGAGTAGAATCACAGAATGGTTTGGGTTGGAAAGGACCTTAAAGATCATCCAGTTCCAATCCCCTTGCCATGGGTGGGGACACCTTCCTCTAAACCAGGTTGCTCAAATCCCAGTCCAGCCTGGCCTTGAACACTGCCAGGGATGCGGCAGCCACAGCTTCTCTGGACAGCCTGTGCCAGTGCCTCACCACCCTCACAGTAAAGAACTTCTTCCTAATATCCAGTCTGAATCTACCCTCTTGCAGTTTAGAAGTGGTGATTCTTAAAAGACGTAGATAGCTTTGGATCATGTACTCCCTGGTATACACTGAAAATACGTATCTGTTCTAGCCTCAAGTTTTGCTTGTTATAGTTAAAATAGTGTCCTCATTCAGACTTTTATGATTTGTCCTAATACCACCATAACTACCACTAGTGAATTTTTACCATAAACTAGATTTTAAATTGACTTCATTTGGTTTGGGGTTTTTTTATTCCTTCTAGAATTTTTTCCTTCTTGAATATTATTTTAATTTATATCAATATCAATTTTATTATATTTTTTAAATATGAACATTTTCTTATTTATAAAACAATTACATGTATTTCATGAAATTGTTTTTGAGGGTGGAACTATTCATATAGATTTTAAAATAAAAGCTTACTTTAAAAACATAAGAGTATTAAAGCAAATGTAAGTACTCTCACCTAGATAAATGTGCATGAATGTGAGCAGATGCTTTCGTAATCTGTCCTGCATGTTTTGTTCTTTGTATTTGAGTGAATTTCTTGGCTCTGACAAGTGATGTGCAATTTCTGGTAATAATAGGCAGTTGAAAGAAGTTTAGATACAAAAATAAAGTTGTGTACTTAAATGACTGATACTAACCATCATCTTCCTTCCTCCTTCTCCCATACCCCTTGCAGGAGCATGTTTTTTGGGTGGTATCTTTAAATACATTGTTCATACTTGTGTTTGGTAAGTATCATTTGCTCTTGAGTTTTATAAAGTTCCTTCTCTGTAGCAATAATGAAGGTTAATTTTAAAGCTATTCTTTCAGAATAGATAAAGTTGTGACATCTAAAAATGGAAACATAAACAAGCTGGGAATATGAATAATAAATCTTTGTTGCTTCTAGTTCTGTCATTTTAGTTCTTTTAAGCTAATAGGTTTAAAATAGGAAATCTACCAAAAGCTTAATGATGTCAACCAAAGCATGGAAAATAATATTTGAATACTATTAAATTAAAGGAGGAAACTTTTAATTTAGTGGCAAGTGAAGTACTTTTAGGAATGGACAGAATTTTTTATTTTTTTTTTCTCCTTACAGTTTTTGCTAGATATAGTTAAATTCCTTTTTCCATCAAGAATCCATTTTTCCATCAAGAATACATTTTTTGCAGCTCAAACTGGGAGGGAGCAGGGTGTGTAAGAATGTAGCTGACTCTAAAGAGCTGTCAAATGTATTTCCATTTTGTGTCAAAAATTACTATGGAACAACTTTTCTTAGTTCATACAAGTTGGATTAATTTTAGAAAACAGTAAATTCTAATCAGTCATGTATTTTACTTTATTTTTCTTTCTCCTTCCCAGAGACACATATATGTGTGTGTATATAAATCCCCTAACCACAGGTGTATGTATATTTCTCAATTATTTGAAACCTAAAAGGATAATATACCTGCCTTAGGATAATATGCATTGTACATAGCAGTAAGTTCCCCCTTGAAAGTTTCTGGAATTCCTGTTTCATATTTACTGCTGATATGTAGGGTAAATTTGCATTTCCACTCTGGTTTTACTGGAGAAAGGGAGGTAACAAATTTAGAAATGCTTTTTTATTGGTGCCTTATACCTGTTGAGTAACCTGAGAGGATAACAGCTCTTCCCTGTGACTCAGTTTTACCTGTTCAGCAACAGAAGCTTTTGCATCATGGTGCTTGAGCCTTGTTAGTGTTGTTAATTTGACATAACCGTGTGTAGAAGCAATAGCATAGTCATGGCAAGATGGAGTACTTTATACATGGATAATGTTGCACTGTTTTTTTCAGTGTTCTTTCTTGGCAGAAGAGTTTGACCTTTAAAAACTGAAGTCATACTGTAGATAAGAAATAAGCAGAGTAAAGCTCATGTATTGAACCAGTGATTTGAGCATCTAGTTATTTAAATGAATCAGCTGATCAAGAAAATAAAAAGAAATATTATGTATATTTAATTCAGAAGAAACTGTAACTGTTCTAATTAGAATTGGAAAATACTTGAATTATTTCTGATACTTAGTCTATTTTAATCTGTAGTTCTCACAAGTTAATTAGGTTTTTAGCTACTAAAAAAAATCAGGCTTTTTTAAGCAGTAGATAATAGCTATGAAATTTCTAAATTCTTGATTAAATTAGTAACAAGAATAATTAATGAAGTTGTCATATAGATGTGCTTTCAGGAACAATAAGTGTGCTTTAACAAGTGGGAAACTAACAGGTAGAGAAGGGGAACAACTTTCCCAAGCAAGTGAGCAGGAGTTCTGGAAACTTAATATGTGCCTCTCAAGCCTATTTTTAGTATCTTTCCTATTAAGTAACATTGCCTAATTTACAACTGCCAAATCTCTTAATTTTAATTATGGTCCTGGTGAGTTTAGATGTCGCAGGAGGTATTTTCTGGAAGATAAGATTGGAAGGAAAGCATTTGAAACCTTAATTGCCAGTCCAGAAATTCTCCTGTGATGTTCTCTTGGACAAGTTAATTAAATTGGACTTAATTCATATTTTTTGCAGTCCACTTTAGTGCTCAGAGGATTTTGTACTTCTTCACACTTTTCATTAAAAGCAATCTATTAGAAATCCTGATTTAAAGAAAGTTACTTAGAAAACATTATAAATTGTGCACTATAATCTCATAAAACACTGTCAAAAAGGTAAAATGAGTCCGATGTCTATAGGAGTCTGATTTTTTTTATTTTTTTCCCCTCCTCACTTGTTCTTATGGAGCAGGAAGAGAGCTCAAGTCCTCCCTTTATCTTTTATATTTTTGCTATTCCTGGTAAATGTTGATTCCTCTGAAAGGGGCATAAATTAACACTTTCTGAAAACTGATTGAGGTAATACATGTCCCCTGCAGTCTATTCCTAGGGTTTGGGTTGTTTTGGGTTTTTTTAAATGTATCAGTCAGATGGAAATTAGGAAAATCAGCAGGCTTTTCATTTGAGGGTATGTTTAGTCTGCAGTAGTGCCTGGCGTTGATTATCATGATATAGTGAAGGTAATACAGGTGAAAATAAAAGCTTGCAGTTACTGCAGCCCTTTACTTCATTACTGACTCCTACTCCTGTAGAAAAGCGATGTTGTATTCTGTAGTCCTCTGTGGCTTGGTTAAAAGACCACAAAGACAGATAAAAGAACTACTTGATCCTGTTGTAAATACACAGGTGTCCAAAAATGGGGCAAGTCCTGTGGGTTTTTTTAATTCATTCCTCCTGAGACCTCCAAATTGGCCGGAGTGAGCTCTCAGGGATGATGACTGTCCTTAGTATGTTAAGTCACAGTAAAGACTTCTCAGTTGTTCCTCATCCCTTCACTGGAGCATTGTCTTTTTCCCCATCATCTTCTCTTCCTGTTGCAAATTTCTGCAGGGCTTACATGTTTCACAGTATTCTTAAGAATTAAAGCACTAAAACTGAAACTTGCTAAATCAAGTCCCACCTGACCCGAAATGGCTACTTAAGGCTTTTAGTGCATGGGAAAGAGTAAATATACAGGGCAGGGTCCTACAGCAGTCTGTGAGACCCATATGAGCCTAGTACATAAGACTGAGAAATTAAATAAATTTACACAAAGCAAGAAGAATAAAAGCCTAAAAGACTGTCATCTTTTTCTGTGTAGTTTTGTATTGTTTGTAGTCTTACAGTGTGAATTCTGATCTGATTGTGTTTTCTAAAATTATAGTAATATAATACTTCCAAATATTTGTACAGAAAGTAATTATTTTCAGTAGTTTTCCCAAAATTGATGAGAAATAGAATAATTCCCATGTTACAATACACAACCTGTAAAAAAGGCTCTGTTTCATGGTCGTTCTTTTTTCTGCTTTCTTTCTACTTGTCTTATGCAGCATTTTGTCCATACCATATTGGTCACTTCTCCATTGTTGGCCTGGGCTTTGAAGAATATGTAAGTACTAGTTTATAGTGTCAAAATGGAAAAAAACCTGCTACTATTTATTTAGTCACAATATTTTTACAGCATCCTTCCACTTACATTTGTGATTGCAAAAGTCACCTGGAGTGTGTCTCATTTTTTCTCCTCAAGCGTTTTTTAATCTCTGATTAAAAATGTTCTCTCACTCTTTCCCACTTCCTCCATTATATACATTCCAAGTGAAGTTTCCTTTTACAAAAAAATGCATATGTTTTGAGGGGGGTTTAAGAGTCTTTTGTTCCCCATGTATATTTTTAATCTGTGCACTTGAGTAATTTCCATAGTTGATGATACTAGGTAGCGAAAGCTAGTGTTGTCAAATGACACTTTTCATTTCACATATAGAGGTTGTTTCATGTTTGAAGAAAGTAGCTGTCATGCTTTTCCAGAAAATATAAACATTTTCTATTTTTGGTGATACCAAAAAAGTAATAGATTATTAAAATATGTTAAAACTAAAGAAAAATGGCATTCTTCTTGGAAGAGTTGAGATTTGGGATTTATCTTAATTACATAAGAAGGAGGTGTAATCTCTTAAGAGACTGATAAATGTTCCCTTTTTTTCTCTCCCCTCCAGGTTCAAGCATCTCACTTTGAAGGCCTGATTACAACTATAGTCGGATATGTTCTGCTAGCAGTGACTTTAATTGTTTGCCATGTATCCTTTTGTCAGTAGTTACCTGGTTTAGATTTTACATGTAAATAAATTTTCTGGCTGTATTTTGAGGAGTCCCAGACATAATATAGATGCAGTCAGTTTACCGTTTTGTTCTGCTATTTTGGTGAAATAAGAAGAAAAGATCTCTTCTGTCTGAGGAGGGTAGAATCATTAATTTTTCCTCTCACAATCCTTACGCTATTGCTATGGGCTACATACTTTCAGCAGAAAGATAAATGGGCTTATGAAAACATAAGGTATGATGGGAAATTTATTCACATCTTTTTGATCCTGTCAGATCCTTAGAGGGCAGATTGCTCTAGTTTCTCTTTCATGTCTCTGAACCACTGAGAGTTTGCAGTATGAACTTCTTTCAGGTGATATCACAGAGAAAATTAAGCAATGGCAGAGTCCTGAAAGCTAGAAGGATTTGATCGCAAGTAAGAAGTCTGCATTTGAGCTGTATGTTTTTTAAAGGGACTACCCCAAAATCAATTAGAAAAAATAAACTTTTGTAGGCAGCTTTCTGTTTAAGAAAAGCTAACATCAACTTTAGACCACACTGTACCAATGTCCAGTGCAAATTTGGTAAAACAGTTGATGGCACATCTCTGTTTTACTTCCTAAAAGAAAACAAAACAAGTCCCCTAAATATAATATGTATCCAGCTCTTCTTGGAAAAGGTGTGAATTTGTTTCAGACTGAATAAAAAGGAAAGCTACCATTTAAGATAGGCCTTCAGTTTTGAAACATCCTTACTGATGGCAGACGTATTCAAAGGCAACTGTATTCCTTGAGAAAACTTGTGGATGCTTAATTTAAGAAGGGTGCTAGTATTTTTTTTTTTTTGTTTGCTTTAGATGCATGTTGAGGGGAGTTATCCAGCACATCAGATTGTGACTTCCAGAGTCACTGGCAACTTTGAAAATAGAACCCTGATAAAATATATACTTCCTCTTTCAGAGTTGTCTTTTATAAAATTTTCTGTTTATAAAAGCCACATAATACAGTGTTTCATGTTAATCAAATTATGTTATAAAATATTTTTCAGTATTATTTTCTTGACAAAACTGTTCAGGGTTTGGCAGCTCTTGTTAAGTTCCAGCGATCACGTCGTTTATTAGGAGTTTGCTATATTGTTGTCAAGGTAATCCTGTGTGTGTGTGTGTGTGTGTGTACGTGTAGCAAAAAATCCTGTCAATTTAAACTTATAATTGTCTTAGCAATTTCTGTTAAACTAGTGAGATTTTTTTCTTTCTCTTTTTTTCCTAAAGGTTTCCTTGTTAGTAGTGGTTGAAATTGGTGTGTTTCCTCTCATCTGTGGCTGGTGGCTGGATATATGCTCTTTGGTAAGAATGGAAATAAATGGGATAAAATCTTTTTTAACAGTGTTTATATTTAATGGAAAAGTTTTGTTGAGAACAGAGTTGTTAAAGAGTTTGACAACAGTATTCTCTTTTTATGAATATAGTGTTTCCAGCAGGAAAGAGATTTTTAGGTACTGCTTAATGCTGATTTTGTTTTCCGTTGTGTTACTAAATACAAATGCAAACTTGTGTACTGAATAAACTTACTTATGTAGCCATCTTATGGGAAATGGTAATGACTTCATATTTTAATAGTTATCCAATCTCTGTTTTTGAAGAAGATAGGTGTTATGTTTACTTTGAATTGAGAAGGACAGTTTTTCTGTGATTAATTAGAAATGGAGAAAATTAATTTCTTCTGGTCTTAGTTGAAATAGAACTTTACTTAAGGAAGTATTTGCTTCCACCACAGTGCCACTTTGTTTGAACTGGTTTAGAACTTATGTACTATATGTTAGTGTTTGAGTTTACTTCTTTCTGTCAGAAGAAAGAAATTGATCAGAAATTGATCTTTGTTTGCTGTTTTTATTGTAAATTATTCCCTCTTTTTTTTCCTAATTAAATGTTATAATTATTTATGTGTGAGAACAAGGCAGACATTTAAATTAAATGCCTAGTAGTATATATGAACTAGGGGTAACAAAATGAGTAACTGTGGAAGACTGCCAAACTTTATTCATATTTGTTTCCTACTTATCTTCTAGGAGATGTTTGATGCCACTTTGAAAGATAGAGAATTGAGCTTTCAGTCTGCCCCAGGTACCACAATGTTTCTGCACTGGTTAGTTGGGATGGTTTACGTCTTTTATTTTGCATCCTTCATCCTTTTATTGAGAGAGGTAAGTCTGTAAGAACAAGATTGGTATAGAACACAGAGAACCTTGGATGTTGAACTTTTGGTTAAATATTTCACATATGGATGTTGCTGGTACTGTGTTTTGTCTGTGTATATTGGATTTCAACCTTATGTAAAAAGGGTCACACTTACTTACTGCAGTGGGAAATGATGGTAAGAGTCTATTTTATTTACAGGTTTATCGTAACAAAGTGTCCTTAAACATAGGTGTTGACTTCAAATGAATCTAAATATAGTTCACTTCTTTTAGATTAATACTTGAGAAATAAGCTTGTAATTGGTTATTGCTTCTTTATGTCTTTCTGATAATGCTTTCTTTGTTCTATGTACCATTTTGTTGAACATTGTTCAACAAATAACCTTATTATGTTTAGAACTTATTTACTGCAGCGGTCTTGCCCAAAATCAAAACTAAAAAATAGGTAATTTTCATATATAATTTTCTATTTCTTCTTTCAGGTATTGAGACCTGGTGTCTTATGGTTTCTCAGGAATTTGAATGATCCAGACTTTAATCCTGTGCAGGAAATGATTCACTTGCCCATTTATAGACATCTCAGGAGATTTATCTTATCAGTGGTAAGGACTTTTTTCAAAATTTTTCTTTATTTGGGAAGAAAATGTCACACATTACCTCTCCTATACACTGCCATGATCTGCTTGTTACTGAAAAGTCTTAAAAGATATGTTCTCAGACTGTGTTAGAGCTGATGGTTACTTGAACTTCACCTTTTAATCACAGAATCATAGAATAGTTAGGGTTGGAAAGGATCTTAAGATCATCTAATTCCAACCCGCCTGCCATGGGCAGGGACACCTCATACTAAACCGTGTCACCCAAGGCTCTGTCCAGCCTGGCCTTGAACGCTGCCAGAGATGGAGCATTCACAACTTCCCGGGGCAACACCTTCCAGTGCCTCACCACCCTCACAGTTTTAATTTACTTAGCTAATTATTTCAGAACTTTTACCAGCCTCACACTGGAATAGGGGACGGAGTTTTTCATATTTATTTATATATTTATTTAATATATATTTAGCTATTTATTTTCTTCATAGTGACCCATGTCCTGCACTGGATTAGTGGCTGAAACAGTATTGCTAGCACACTGCTGTTTTGGCTGTGGCTGAAGGGTGCTTGCACAGCATCAAGGCTTTTTCTCAGCTTTTCCATTCTCTGTTAAACTGTCATTATTTCAATCCATGAGTCTTCTTGTCATCCTTCTATTTTCTCCCCATTCAGCTACAGAGGAGAATGAATGAGCAGCTGGGTTGATAGCCAGGGTTAACCCATCACACACAAGCAACATGTCAGAGAGATTGGTAGGGAGCTATGTTTGGTTGTTTCTGCTAATTGGACTAAATTCTAACTTCTTTGTTCCAGATTGTCTTTGGATCAATTGTACTGCTCATGCTCTGGCTTCCTATACGCATTATTAAATATCTTCTGCCTAACTTTCTTCCATATAATGTTATGCTTTACAGGTAAGTGTTTATTTTTTAAAAGATGTTTTTTCAGTCTCCCTGTAACTAGAAAAAAATTATTTGCACTCTTTGAGCATTAGTGTGACACTGGTATGTTACTTTTTTTGTTTTCAATTAAACTTCATTGTTCTAGAAAATAAAAAGGATGTGGATACATCAAAATAAAAAGCCAGCAAGAAAAATAAAAAGCATTTTGTATTACATCCATGATGATAGCTATTAGGCTTTTATGTGCCCTTAGAACACTTTCCCCTTCAACTTCTTGATAGTGAAGTTGCTGTCATGTTTGTTTTCACGCTAATTCCTGATTATCATTACTTCAAGACTAAAAGAATATCTGTAACTGGTTCTTTTTAATATCAGTATCTTTCTGTTTCTAAGCAATAATTGAAACAGCAATGATAAAAGCAAGTAAAAGACCAAATCATATTCTTATATAATCCTTCTCAACAGTTTTTTCTTTCTTAATGCCTAAACACTCGTGAACACTTCACCTTGGAATAGTATATAAAGAAAAGTGTCTGCAAAAAACTAAGAATTGTTCCTGTTGGTATCCAGTATACTTTTTTTATTGTGGTGGTGTTATTGTGACTCAGTGTGAAAGATTACTATCAGAATGTTCCTCGTGTCTGATTTTCTGTTCTTCCTGTTGTTTCTAGTGATGCTCCAGTAAGTGAGCTTTCCCTAGAGCTTCTTCTGCTTCAGGTAGTGCTTCCAGCTTTGCTAGAACAAGGACATACAAGACAGTGGTTGAAAGGTCTTGTACGAGCATGGACTGTTACTGCTGGCTACTTGCTGTAAGTATAGAAAAACAAAATCAACTACAAACATTGTGTCCAGCTTAGCCTTTTACCGTATGTTCCGGAGTTCAAGGATTCTGGAACACATGAAAGCAGCATGGTTTCCAGAGAGTTACCTAACAGACAAGCTATTCTACACATAAATACGTGATATAAAACTTCTGTAGTTATTTTCTTCTTCTAAGGAGTAGTTGTACCTACTTCTTGACAAATAATTCTTTTAGTATGCTCTTACAGCATTTGCTTAGTTAAAAAAAAAAAAAGAATCTGTAATAGTATGACTAACAGCTTGTTAACTTCCTGTTATATGGAAAAAATAGAGGTAAGTGTCAGCAGTGCATTTCCATGAGTCATCTTGCATTTCTTACTAGAAGAAGAAGAAAAAAAAAGTTTAGAACACTAAACTGAAGAAGTGCATACCTTTTAAATTGGAGATTTTCAAGTTAAAAATCTCTAAAGAAGGATAAAACTGTATTTGTCAGATAAATGTTCATACAAAGTGAGGTTCTTTAATTTAGACTGCCAGGCAGAGCTTTAGAACTTGAAATTATTTTTTAGTTCGTATGTTGTTTAACACATTAGCCAAGAAAAAAAAAAAAGGTTGATTTTGTTTCCATAAAGTTTTAGATTTAACTTCAAAGTGTATTGTCATTCTCTCATCATGTCTAGTTCATTGTGGGTTGTGCCAATGCAGCACTATTAAAACGAAGATTGATTTTTTGCTATGTCTGAGACAGATAAATGAAACACTTTTGTCTCCCACTGCAATCCAAAATACTTATTTTAGCTTTTCATAAGGAAACTCTTCCCAGCCTGTTCTCTTAGTTTGCATTTTGGAAACTTACATTTTTAATTTGTCCATGTTTTGATAGTGTTTAAGTATGACAGAAGAGGAAGATCTTTTCCCTTTTCTTAAAAGGCAGAGTGCTGTAAAAAATGTTTCCATTGTTTGCCAGTAGAATCATAGAATAGTTAGGGTTGGAAAGGACCTTAAGATCATCTATTTCCAACCCCCCAACCATGGGCAGGGACACCTCACACTAAACCATGCCACCCAAGGCTCTGTCCAGCCTGGTCTTGAACACCACCACGGATGGAGCATTCACAACCTCCCTGGGCAACCCATTCCAGTGCCTCACCACCCTCACAGTAAAGAATTTCTTCCTTATATCCAATCTAAACTTCCCCTGTTTCAGTTTTAACCTGTTACCCCTTGTACTGTCACTACAATCCCTAATGGAGAGTCCATCCCCAGCATCCCTACAGGCCCCCTTCAGATACTGGAAGGCTGCCATGAGGTCTCCACACAGCCTTCTCTTCTCCAGGCTGAACAGCCCCAACTTTCTCAGCCTGTCTTCATGCAGGAGGTGCTCCAGTCCCCTGATCATCCTTGTGGGCCTCCTCTGGGCTTGTTCCAACAGTTCCATGTCCTTTTTATGTTGAGGACATCAGAAATGTACAGAATACTCCAAGTGAGGTCTCACAAGAGCAGAGTAGGGGGGCAGGATCACCTCCTTCGACCTGCTGGTCATGCTCCTTTTGATGCAGCCCAGGATATGGTTGGCTAACACTAACCCTTACTGCTAATAAAAATTCTGCTAAAGTCGAGGAAAATCAGATTCTAAATGTTCATATTGGTTTGGGGGAGGGGGGTTAATCAGACTCAAATGTTTGTTTGCTATTGATGTATGCCAGAAATATCAACAGCATACTTTTTAAAGTAGATTGACACTCTTTAGGATGATGTTCTTCGAAAGCTCAGAACAGGTTTTGAGTAATATAAAATCTTCTTGAAAAACTCGGTACTGTACTGTGGAAAATGTGTCTATAGCAGTTCAGTACTGTCCTTGTACAGTTTAGGCTTGAAGGCAATTGTTTCCAGTAGAGCTTAGTAGCAGTAAAATAAAAGCTGGCAGTTGAACTGCTTGCTTACATGAACTGAAATATTGATGCAATTTTCCATTTATATGCACAACTTTAATACCAGATGTTTTTAAAGCAGTCAAACAGGTAAGTAATTTACTTGTGGCTGTATTCCCACTGTTCTAATCTACATCCACACTCATATTTTTCTTCTAAATTCTGTGTTTAGGGTGACATTGAGTACATTATCAGAAAATGGTTTATTTTACTTTATCAAGAATCTGCCTGTATAAATTTTATGCAGCTCATACACATTCTGGGTCAGCCTCTTTTTCTGTAAGGTTATCATTCATATCAAACAGAACAAAACTGAAACTTTGATTGTTACAGGGATCTCCATTCTTACCTGCTTGGTGACCAGGAAGAGAATGAAAACAATGCAAACCAGCAAGCTAACAACCAGCATGCTCGCAATAATAATGCCATTCCAGTTGTGGGGGAAGGTCTTCATGCAGCCCATCAAGCCATACTTCAACAAGGAGGACCTGTGGGTTTCCAGCCTTATCGTAGGCCTTTAAAATTCCCGCTCAGGGTAGGTATATCTAATGCATTAAGACAAAAGGGAAAGGCAAAATTTTGGCCCACATGTTATCAGAAATCAAGTGGCGGGTCATGTTGTTTTGTGTCTTGTTCTATTTGTGTATTTCTGCTTTTTAGAAAGTAGTTGCTCTCGCATACAGCTTTTATCAGCCTATAACTTAAGACATTCAATTACCACAATTGTTGTGTATTATCTGTTAGTTCATGTTCTTATTTTCCTAATTGTTGTTAATGAAGAGAAACAGAATAACTCCCCAGCAAACGGGTAGTTCAGGTGGCATGGTTTTGAAGAAGGCATACTTCAGTGTTGTAGCCAAAGTGTATTTTAAACTATTTTGCTTTATTAAATAATTAAATGGAGAACTTTTATTGCATCTGTATTAAACACAGAAAGGTGTTACAATACCTGAAAGTTCTGGATCCCTACAGTTTGTTGTTGGCAAATACTTCAATTTCTAGAATAATATATAGATAAATTGTTTTGTTGTTACCAGAACTCTGAGTTAATAAATCAAACTTAAACACAACTCATTTACTATGGTTCCAGGTATAGCTCAAGAGTGGAAGTAATGGGTAAAGTTAGAATAATGCAGTATTGCTTATGAAGTTTTCTTAAACGCAGAATCTGCCAGAATTCTCATGACAAAGTACAAAATAAAGCTTTTTCTTTCTCACCATACTCTTACCACCTCCCCCTCTCTCCCCTTTAATCTTAACCTAGTAGAACTGAGAGCAAATTTGGAAGCATTTTAGGATACTGTTGAGCTTCTGAGTGTTTGAAGTTGGGGCTTTGGGATGGGTCAAGGTGGCCGAGGTGGGAAATAATTCCCTGTACCTGATTCCTGATTTTTACCCTCTAAAATGACTCTCAAATAAGGGCTGTGTTAACCTAGGGACTCATTAAATACTTTCTAGAAATACCTTTATATGAGTTTATTTTTGTGGATGCTTCTGGATAAGGACGTGCTAAAATCATCATACTATAAGCTTTCAGTAATTTGGGTTGCTGACCTGGTGATAATAACCAAGCAGTTTCATATTTGGCTGCCAAAGACTCTTTTTTCTGGTCTGTTTACCTTCATCTAGGTATTTTAAGTAGTTCTTTGGAAACATTCGACAGAGTGTAGAAATTAATAGAATATCTGATCCATTGTTTTCAAGAGATTTTCAAGCACTTGCACAATCTCAGACATGTGGTAGCTCACTGATGCAATTCTATGTCCCTCGTTCCACTTGTTAGAAATACTTAAGTAATGAAACACTCAGCATCACTGTAAGTGTTTCAGCTGTAATTTTTAGTATACTGGCCTTGGTTCTACTTTGATAACTTCATCTTAAGCAAAATGTGTTTCCCACATAGGCTTTCACTGGGGAACAGTGCTGTATTACTTTCTCAGTTGGGATTTTAAGCATTTGAGAAGGAAAAAAGACTTTTTTTTAATTATTTAATTAAGCATATACGCTAATCTTAAAAGATAAGAATTTTTTTTAGTAGTAGTAGTATTCTACATAAGAGCTTATCATCAGTTTTATCAGATAATCTGTATAACTCTTCCAGCTGATTTATTTTATAAACAAACCTCCCAAAGCCTCTCGAACAAATGCGGATGCATGGAATTTGTTGAATTTTCCTGCTACTGCCTTATATTCCTTTCAGCCTTCCTTTCATAATCCACTGTTGTCAGCAGAGTCTACAGACTCTCTGAAAACTTTATTCTGAGGATTTTTAGATTTTATTACCTTATTGTTGATCCTTTTTAATTAAAAAAAAAAAACAAACAACACCCTATCTATACAAATAAATTTATCATTACTTCTCATGGATTTTGGTATGCTATTTCTGAAATCCCTTTGGCTGTAGTTTTGAATTTCACTTATCAAAGTTCATCCATTTTCTGGTTTGGTTTGGATTGGTTTGATTTATTCACACACACACAGAGGTCTATTCCATCTTCTGGAAGCCATTTTTAGTTTACTGTTTGCTGTGGCAACTTCAGGGAGATTTGCAAGATCTTTGAATATATTGCCGCTACTGTCAGTGCTGCATCTCTCCTAAGAGTGACTTGCTGCCTGTGCATTATTTAGGTCCAAATCAGGAGTTGCTCTTCCTCTTGTATGTTCTCACTGATCCAAGAAACAGCTGTTTGTAGTGTTCAAAAGCTTCATTCTGGCTTTAGTCTGTCACGTGTTGTTTATTCCCACATGGGCTGACTTTCCTCTGGCATTCCCTAAGTAACAAATTGTTTAGACAGTACTGGTCCCAAGCAATTCACACCATATTTTCCGTACCATCGAGGGGTTTTTTTTGTCTGCAGTCCAGTTGTCAGCTACTCCAGTTTTCTTCCTTCCATCCTTTGGGATCCCTAACCCTAAAGAGTGTTTTGTGGGAAAAAGGGTACATGGCTGTCACCTGGCAAGTAGCTGGGTATTGTGGAATCATTCCTTTTCACTCAGGCTAACGTTTACAAAATCACACGATTCTGTACAAAAAATCAAATTTTTTTTTAAAAAATCAAATTTACAAAATCAAGATTTTCTTTCCTTTAAGCAGTACTGGAGATCCTAATGTAGAGATGCGACTGATCTACATTGTCCCAAAAAGTCCCATCAAGGAAAATGTGCGTTACAGGTTTAACTTTCTCAGTAGTCTGTCATGATAAGCTGTTAGTTTCCCCATTGTTTTTTGTGTGGCTTTGATTATTGAAACAGAATTTCATAGCATGTGGTGCTAGAGACATTCAAATACTTAAAAGAGATCGAGTACATGAGAATTCTCTGATAAGATGTAAACCTGACTAACTAGCTGCCAGCTTTGCTGTCAGCTGCTGGTCGCATAAACCTGAGGGCATCTGGAAGAGCCATCTCAGCAAGCTTTTTCCTTGTTGTAAAACCACTGTCTTGCATACCTGGCATGCAGAGAAACCTTTAATTGAAAGTCATGCTGATCAGTGCAGAAGTAGATTATTTTTTAATGTAACACAACAAAACCCTTAAGTCATTCTGGATTCAAATGATAATTTTTACTGTTGTGACAACTGATGTGAACTTTTAAAAGAAATAAGTAACACTAGATGTGTTTTGTACACTGTGGATAGGTTTCTTATTGCTGATCTATTTATACAGTGAAACATGAGTTGGTGTTTGAGTGTTCTAGTTTAGCTGTGTTTTTAGGATGACACATCTTTTAGATGTTTTTATTGGCTTTGGTTAAATAACTTCCTTATAAACTGTTTCTCTTTTTCTTTCCTCTTTCAGATATTTCTTTTGATTGTTTTCATGTGCATAACATTACTGATTGCTAGTCTTATCTGCCTTACCTTACCAGGTAAGTCCATTATTGTGAAACTACAGTGAAACAACCTCAGCATGTTGCCATGCTCAACAGAGGCAGATGTTTTGAAGCTATTGTTTTAAGTTAAAAGGAGAAAGCATGGAAAATGATGTCTTGTTTTTAATGGTACATCAACATATTTTAATAATCTAAAATGTAAATGATAAGAGATAATGCCTGTATTTAAATGACAGAGATTGCCATTTCATTTTTTTGTTGTAGAATAATTTTCTTCTAAGGGCAGGCTTCAATCTCTGTAGTAGTATTGAGAGCAAAAGAAAATTTAAAACTCTTACACCTGCTTTGCCATTAGAGAAGGAAAATATATAGGTTGTTACCAGGTCTTCTATGGTATCTTTTTCAATAAATATTCTGAAGGTGTCATCATGACAGGTCACTGGGAGACTTTGAAGTGATATACATGCCATTTCCCAAAATCATATGAATAAGTAATTGAACCAAATCAAAAGCACTTTGTAGGGTATTTTAAAAAATAATTTGGAATAAATTAAGACATGTAAACTCATTTGATTTTTGTAACCTGGCTACCATTGTCCCATGAACATTTTTACTTCCTTGTATTAATAATGATATTAATTTTGTTATGGTTTTAATATTATTATGTAAAATAATTCCAGTATAATACTAGTGAATAGAAACATAATTAAAAAGTGAAATGTAGCAAATGAGTCTCACATTTTTGTCAGAGAGTTCTGAATAGTGCTTTGTTTTGCTGTAGTTCAGGTCACATTGCTCGTGTAATGACATTTTAGGGGGGAAAAAATCCCACATGTATTTGGCATCATCTGTGTAACTACATTGTGCTTCACACATTCGTGCTGTATGGGTGTAGTATTAAAATGCTACTTTATGTTGAATAATATTTGTGCATTAGTATTTAACAGTAAATTTGATAAGTATTTTTTAATAGGCATCCTTCCTTAATACATCAAAAAGCATTACTCTATTTAACAGTGTTTGTATTTTCAGTATTTGCTGGCCGTTGGTTAATGTCATTTTGGACGGGGACTGCCAAAATCCATGAGCTGTATACAGCTGCATGTGGTCTTTATGTGTGTTGGCTAACTATCCGAGCAGTGACAGTGCTGGTCGCCTGGATGCCACAGGGTCGTCGAGTGATTTTTCAGAAGGTTAAAGAATGGTCTCTCATGGTGAGTCCAGAGAAAAATATTTTATTTAATTATTAAGAAAGTAACTAACGAAACTTGCTCTTTCAGTTTTGCTTCCAGGTTTTACTCTGTTATGTATATTATGCTTTCCTTTTCAGATTGTTTTGAAACTTTTACAGCTTACATTCTCATTGCATAGGCTAACTATTTTTGGAAGCCACTTAGCACAATATTAAGCCATCAGTATAAATAAGTTTGGGTTTTTATAGTATATGCCTGTTTTTTTCTGTTTTCCTTTAAAAGTGAGTATGTTTCATTAGATTACCCTGTGTGATGTGTCCTTGAATACATTTACATTTTCACATATACCTGGAGGCTTAACTATTACTCATTTAGCAACTTGACATTATCAAGTAAGAAAAACAACTAGTTAAGCTGACAGATGATGATGAACAACCTGTCCCTACAAACAAGTTTGATGCATATTTTCAGGAAGATCTTTATAATTTGTCAGATCTATGTGCTGTTCAAATTAATGGTTTTAAATATTATTGTTATGAGTTCAGATTCTCACCATAGCAACGAATTTATATCCCACCTTTTTATTTTAGTGGGATATTTTATTTTATTTTATTTTGATTTTGAGAATTTCTGTAGTAAATTTCTTGCCTAAGTATAGTAATATTACATATTCAGGCACAATCATTCCTTTTTCTGTAGGGAGTATTGGAGTAGAACCCAGTTTTGAAAACTTGCATTGCAAAACTGTGTATGTAAGAATGTTATTTTTAGGGGTATATATGTATTAATTAGAGGTCTGTGTATTTTCTTTTCCCCTCCAGCTTTCTCTGTGTAGTTTAAATTACATTTTGAAGTTTAAACAAAAAGAATCCTCTGATGAAGATACTAACTTAGGTGCCTTTGGTTTGTTTTTTTTAGATAATGAAGACATTAATAGTGGCTATACTGCTAGCTGGTGTGGTTCCGCTTTTACTTGGTCTTCTGTTTGAACTAGTTATTGTTGCACCTTTGAGAGTTCCTTTGGATCAAACACCTCTCTTCTATCCTTGGCAGGTCAGTTGGTCCCATTCTTCTGCTGTTGATGTATTTCTTTACTTAGAATTCAGGAGTATGGAAGTTCTTGTTTCATGTTGATTGTGTGCTTCAGACCATTTTCTGCAAGTGTGTTTCTATGTGGCAAAGACATCCAGTCTGGATGTGAGGATTATTTCAACCAAAGGGATATGGTTAGGAATTCAAAGTATGAAAAGCTACACTCTGTGGGATGACATTAGAGGGTCTTTGCATTTTAGTTATTGGATTTTTTTTTTCAGTAGCATAATTGTAAAGATATATACAGAAGTTAGTATAGTTGTATGCACTTAAACACAGACGTATATACTCTGACCTTTCTGGACAGCTTTCTGCCTACAGTTATGCAGCAAGAGTTTTAGCTGAACTTTTTTTCATACAAGGTTTCAATTCAGTGGTGATACTTGCTATGAATGGAGTTTTTATATGCTTTAGGATCATCTTAGTTCTTTAAAAATTTGCAATTAAATATACTGGAAGACTTTACGTTCATGTGGCAGAGCTTCCTCGAAACATCAAGTTAGTGGGATTTGAGTCTTGTTCTAAATTAACAGGGAGCTATTGAAATAGGGAGTAATGCCCATTTTTCATAAGAGAATAGTTATACAAAGTTTACATGCTTGAGCAAACACAAAGGAACTTTAAAATGGGCTTTTTTGTAACAAGTTCTTAAATTTTTTAATGTATCTGGGGTAACAGATGTTAATAAAAGCTGTATTTTTAAATAATTGCTTAAAGCAAATATATTTCCCCAGCATTTTAAGAAAGTTAATTAACATATGATGTCTTACCAGTTCTGCACCTGTTTATTCTCCCTTGTCAGCCTTTGCATTCTAATTTTGGATGGGTTTTATTGAAGAACTTTTCACAAATATCTGTAATCCAGAAGAGACTGACACATGACATGCAGGGTTTACTAGAAGCCTGTTGTTAAATTGTGTTCTTTTAATTCCATGCCATAGTAATTGTAAATTAAGTAAAAAGCATAAATTCTTCCCTGAATAGTATGACATTCTTTTTTAAGGAACAGTGCCTTGCTTTGTTTAGCTTTTCCCACATCTGGTAGGGTTTAGGGTTTTGTGGACAATTAAAATTTAAAAGAAGAATTAAAAAAGCCTAGCATGTTCCAGAGAGCTGAATATTTTATAGATGTCAGTTAAGCTTGAGAGTATCCTGTCTTTCTTATGAGTTTGCAGAAGATGCCATGTCCTTTAAACAATATCCCATGTAAAAAGAAAAATAATTATCTTTTCACTTGTAAGTAATATTAGCAAGTTGCTCTAAAAGCTTTTGATTCTCAAACTATTTAAAAAGATGTTAATGCTAACTGTACATTTTTACAAAATTAGGACTGGGCTCTTGGAGTTTTGCATGCCAAAATAATTGCTGCCATAACACTGATGGGTCCCCAGTGGTGGCTGAAAACTGTTATTGAACAGGTAAGGAAAAATTATCTGTGTATATTGTCTGTGTAATACATTTTTAATGTTTTATGAATGTGCGAGTTGGAAAACAGTTACTGTTGTAGTGATGGAGTAATTTGAGTAATCGAGCAAAACTCAACTAATTTTGTAGAATCCTATTAAATTGTACAGCCCAATCCATTAAGGTACACTTAATAATAAAAATAAACCTCAGAAATCTGAAATCAAGCAATTGCAGAGTGTATGTATATGCAATTTTATCGGGTTTGTATTAAAGTGATGAGAAACATCATTATTTCGTCAGATGAATTCACACGTGTCTCAAGTACTGGATATTATTTATGTCTGCCACTCAAGAACAGAATTTCTGCCTTCTCCACAGCTGTAGAGATTAGCTCATTCATAGATGAGTGTACATATGAAAGATGGTCTTTCTATTCCCCTGTGATTATTAAGACGGAGCAGGTTTTGTGAACAGTTCTGAGTCACATGGCCTGTTGCTTTCTTTGGCAGAAGTTTTTTTTTCTTGATAGTCTTTAAAGTTATATGGTTGCTGTCTCAATGAAGTATCTCAATTGTTTGTCAGACAGTAACTTTTCAACCCTGTTACATGTAATGGCTGTGGTGAATGTCCTGGCCTCTGTACAGGCGGTGGCCTCTCAAATCTAGCATATAGTCCCAGATACTAAACCATTTACTAATCGCTGTAGGTGTCACACTGGAGAAATTAATCTTAATTCTGTGAGTACCTTTTCATGAATACAACAGCTCTTCCTTCCATTCTGAATATTGTCCCTGGTGCTGTTTGTTGTACACACATTCTCCTGAGCTGTCCTTAGAAATGGATGCATCCAGGCTGTGGGACAGAGGCCATTGTCTAGCTGTATGTGGCAGCCATTTGGAGCTGGTGTTTTCCTGTGATTAGTCATGTTGAGACCTTGCCTCCTGATGGTAGCTGCAGAAACTTCAGAATTATGGAGGCCCTTTCTTCAGGCACAGATTCCACATGCAGAGGCTTTGGTCTGCCCAGTCAACTACAATGTAAGATCCTATTTTCTGCCTGTGTTACCAACTTGAATAGATTTGCTCTACTAGCAAAACACGGGATCTTCTTTTGGCAAGCTAACAGCACAAAGCGATATCAGGTCGTCATCCATAAAACCACCGTCCACAGCTATATTTAATGATCTTTCAGCTGGTCTCTTGCACTCCTGCAACCAAATCACAATACTACTCAAGATTAAGTTGCTCTCCTGGGCACTGTTCAGATGATTTCCTGGAATCCTGATGTAGATTAGTACGGAGTTTTTCCTTCTTCGACTGTGGCCATCGTGGTTTTCTTCAAGTTGGGAACAGCTGTTTCCTCTCATAAGGAGAATTGTGTAAAACCTTGTAATTGTTAATGTAAGCACGAAGCATGGCTTTTTAATTGATCCTCTCTCCTTCTGACTTCTTGTTCTTAGGTATATGCAAATGGGATTCGTAACATTGATTTACACTTCATAATTCGTAAACTGGCAGCACCCGTAATCTCTGTTCTGTTGCTTTCCCTGTGTGTACCATACATCATAGCCTCTGGTGTTGTACCTTTATTAGGTATGTATATATTCAGAATACTTTTCATTATCTGATGGTTTAGAGCAATGTAAATATATCTAGAAATAAAACTTCATGCTCTGGGTTATTTAAAAACAAACACACACTACTATTCTGCCAGCAAATGTAAATCCTTAAGAATTGGTGTGTCATCTTAAAAGTTTGGGATTTTTTGAGAAATGCAATATATTATTCTGACTGGCTTTTAAAAACGAAGTGCAGAATACAGTGAGAGCGTGGGACTGCATAATACCTACATTTCTACTTTTAGATATCTAGCTAGTTTGGGAAAGGGATGATTAATTCCTTTCTTGTTTAGACAACCTTTAATCTCTGTTTAAAAGCTGTACTGAGTTGAGGACATCTTTTCTGACTTCTCAGATTATAAAGGAAGCTTAGAACAAGTGAAAATACGGGTTGAGTTTTTCATTCAGTATTAAAACGTAAATTGGTTTGGGGTTTTTTTTCAGGCTTTCCTATCTTCATAGTTGAGGGAAAAATTTTCTAAGAAGCAGGGCAGGTGTGCTTTTTCATCAACAGTTGTCTCTTGCTAGTTAGTTTTGATGTTACATGTTCAAGAAGCCCCATTTTATTCTTCAGTCTCTCACTTGAATGCAGATTTTAATGTCACCTTTTTTTCTGACACAAGTTTTAAAGAAGTCAATAAGCAAGAAAAACTGATAAGATGCCTTTTTTTTTTTTTACTGTGTTAATGGAGAACTTCCAGTTTTAATGCTTTGGATGAAAAAGAACAGTAGCTGTTATGTTGGATCTGTGAGATAAATGGTTGTACTATTCATTTCACATCCCTTTTACTGAAGTTACAGTGCAACAAAGTGTGGAAGCAGGTAGAGAAGCAGAGATGCATGAGTCACTTTAGCAATGTTAGATTATGTGGGGATTGTGTCCTGTTTTGCAGGAGTTACTGCTGAAATGCAAAACCTTGTTCAGCGACGAATTTATCCTTTTCTGCTTATGGTGGTGGTTTTGATGGGAATTCTCTCCTTCCAAGTCCGCCAGTTCAAGCGCCTTTATGAACATATTAAAAATGACAAGTGAGTATACAGTGGGGGGGGGGTGTGTTAATTTTTACACTTTAAATTGTGATAACAACTTCAGATTGAATGCAGGCATTGTAGGTACTTAGGGCTAAAAGGATTTTGAGAAGCTTTCTGAACTTAACAACCCTCTAAGGGAGACCTGAACTGTTCTTGGCAAATGTTTTATCTGTAGTTCAGGTAGATAAACACAGGAACAGACTGTCTTTATAAATGGAAGATACTCTTTTATCTATAAGATACTCTTTATAAACGGAAGTCTCTCTTAGTCTCACCCAATACCTGTTCTGCATTGTGACAGGTTCTTTTTTGAGCTGAGAACTTCATTTAGCAGTCATTGGTTTTAGATTAATTGTTCCAGATGTTCAAGTAATGGTGGCTCAAACAAACACTGTGAAGATGCTCTTAAAAGTGCCATCCAGCAAAAGGCTGGGTATAAAAATAATGCAAACACATTCTTTATATTTCACATTTTCATTTAGCTTGTATGAGTACCGAAGTTGAGGCTGTAAACACAAACCTGTAATGCCTGTATTCGCTTATACCATGCCTGAATGTTAAGAAAAAAGATGAGGATGGTTGATGATGAGAAAAAATGAAAACTATTGGGAGGGAAAGGGGAATCACATGTAGAACAACTTTTACTACACATGTAGTATTACATGTAGAACAACTTACTTCTGCAGCAAAGGAGATAAAGCGATTTGTGTTACAGAATTGCATTAACTTGTGTTAATTTCTCACTGTTTTCACTATAATCCCAGGTACCTTGTCGGGCAACGACTTGTGAATTATGAACGGAAGTCTGGTAAACAAGGCACATCAACTACTCCACCTCAGTCTTCACAAGAATAGATGGTCATAAACATCTTGACCTTCCCTTTGCCTTTACATGTCCTTTTTTTTCATAGACTCTTCTTCAGTCTTTGAATATCTCTTCCAATAATGCTCTCAGCAGTGTTTTGGCTTCTGTTAATAGCATCCAGATAGCAGTTAAGGCTCTGTTCCTTATCTGCATTTTTCTGATGTTATCAATGCTGTCTGAGGTCTGTATATGTGTAAATAGAAGTATCCTGACACCCTAAAACCTTGGATTAAAAAGAATGTGCATTGTACATCTTTAAAAAAGTATATTAATTTATTAAATCTAGTTGTCACTTTATTTTGGACTGCTGTTCTGTTGACAATGTGCCACAAAGCAATACTGCAAAGAGGCAAGATGTTTTTATAAAATTTGGAGCTTACTTTATGGCGTTCATAACAGTTCTTACTGTAGTAATATAGTATGAGTTTTCATGAGTGGAAGAACCACACAGAATATCAGAAGTAAGTAACTGTCTTACAGTCAGCAATGAAGTGGCTGTGGTGAGAACATAATGAACTATGTATCTTGCTGTCAAGTCTTTTTTATTATTTTGTATAACACCAAAGCTGTTGTACATTTTTCTATTGCCTGATTGTTTTTCATGTGTCTGAGTTTGTAATATTGTACAGTTGCTGTTAAATCAAGAAAATACTTCCTCTTCTGAGAATTCAGATGTACTTGTTGAGACTCAGCTGGGTGTTTCTGTTGGGGGAGATTGGGGGGGGGACGGACACAAGGGGGGTGGTATCGGCTTTAGGCATCAGGATTTCCTGAACTGAAACAGTAAATAATTTACTAAGGTTAGGTGATGGAAGCATTTAAAGGTACCAAGGATTAGATAGGTTCATAACTGAAATTGTAGCCAATTTCTTATCAATAATAGAAATTTTCAGGACCTCAGGGGGAGGGATGAACCTTATCTGATGTGTTTGCACAAAAACAACAGAGTGTAAGCACCATTTTGACCTGGTCCTTAACTAAAGAGCCTGAAATCTTTTTTTTCTGTAAGTTACCAAAGTTGCAAATTTTAGTATGAATTTTATATTGCACAGTTACTTCAAAACAAAACCCCAAGCAAACAAACAAAAGAGACCTACAGCAAGTATCTCTTTTCTTTTGGAATTGGTCACTGTGAATTTTTTATGGGAATAATACTGGGGAAGTGATTTACCTTGTACCATTTATTGCCTGTGGGGCAGGGAAACACATAATGCTATTAAACAAGGAAAAGTTAGCAGATTTCTTTGCAAGGACACAGTCAAACAAAAGCCACCAAATCAAGTCTGTGCTATTTCTATATGTAGATAAGAGTTCTTTTGCAGTAATGTTTGGGGGATTTTTATGTATATATTTTAAAGAAACTACATAACAGTATTGCAAAGCTTTAAATAGCATCAAATCATATGCTTAGATCGCAGTATCTCTTGTAGATTAAATGGGGGAAATGTGAGTATCCGTTGCAGCAATCAGAAAATTGATGGAACATTAAACTTGCTGCTCGGTATACTGTCCTCCAGTATTCCGTACTTGACCATATGTGTATATAATTAATACTTGAGAATCGCTTGGCAGGTGCTTTGAGAGTGTCATCTCCTTTTATTGATGTTGCATCTCTGATCTGATGTGTTTTGAGTTAATGTGGTCCAGGCTGTGATGGTGGCAGTTCATTTTCTAGTGTCTGTACTCGTGTTCGGAGGCAGTGAGCACAAGCCAAATGCATCTGAACCTAGTGGCAAGAGGATTGGGCTGTCACTATCAGAAGGTCAGAAACTACTATCTCACGGAATCACTGTTGTCCTGATTGTTTTGAACCATAAATGTTACCCTTTGGAGTGATTTATTAGGAAACTTCCAGTGAACTGAAATCATAAAGAAATAACCAAAATGTTTTTCTCTCATTCACTGACTAAATGACAAATTGGGTATTTGCCCAGTATATTTTGGTGTGCATAAATACTGCATTTGACTATTTACAGTGGTGTACATTGTGGGACAGATATATTTTCAGAATATTAAACTCACTGGTAACATTCTTTCTTACACCAAGATTCTGTCTTTGACATATCTTTCCTAAACAGTTCCAAAATGGTCTTACCACTCAAAGATTGCAAGCACTCCTGCACATCATGCGGAATTTGCAGCAGTGTGATTCTTGTAACTTTGTGTTTTTATCCAGACAAACTGGTCTTAACATTAAAATTTATTAAGAAAAAGCCTTTTTGCAATTTCTTATTACTGTTGTTTTGCAACTCATAACAGAAGAAACTGAACCAGGCATGAACCAGTCATGCAGTGTGAACTGTAGCTATTTTACTGTAGCTTACATTACCTGTATTCACTCTTTGTTAGGGAGAACTGGCTTCAAATCAACAGTTGTGCTTGCTTTTGCACTGCTTTACAGATTCTAGGTGAAGTTTGTTTCTGAAACTGTCCATCGTGAATTTTTACAAAATCTCATCTCCCTATATACTTATTTTTGCATGTGTTTTGGGAAAGAAGATGGAAGTTATATAGAACAAGAATTAAGTAACGCTGCTTTTCTACTGGTTTAAATTTTGATAGTCTGCCTTACTGGGCTGTCTGTTGTACTCCTCTGGCATAGAAACTTGATAGTAAGCATGTAAGTTAACTGGCTGTTACTAACATAGCTGGCAGCTCTATACCAGAAGCTTCCATCCCTGCTAGAGTAATACAGCATGCAGGGGTTGTATTACTCTTAAAGCTGGAAAAATTCTCCGTGTGTGCATGTGGTTTTACCACAACTTGACACTGAATCTTTGAGGGGTTGGAGAAGCAACCTGGCCTAGTTTGTGTATCCCTTCTGCGGTGTTGAGAATCTACTGCTGTTAGCAGTTCTACAGGCCTTCATCAAAGAACTGTCAGATGGCTCTATAGCCATCTTTTGGTTACTGAAAGAAGTTAATTGTGGCACAGCTTTGGTTTTACACAGATTATTTTAGATTGATTAAAAATAGTAAAAACTCTGCATCTTTTCTCTGATTCCCTCTTCTCTGCTGGGTAAAGCGTATGTTATTTGTTCAGTTTCCAAGGGCCCTCTGAGACCTGTAACTATTTTCTGTCAGCCCTTACCTCAGTAAGATACAATCACAGAATGGTTTGTGTTGGAAAGGCCCTTAAGATCATCTAGTTCAAACCCCCCTGCTATGGGCAGGGACGCCTCCCATGAGACCAGCTTACTCGAGGCCCTTTCCAACCCAGCCTTGAACACTGCCAGGGATGGAACATTCACAACTTCCTTTACTCTCACAGTAAAAAGTTTCGTCCTTGCATCTAACCTTAGTCTCCCATTAAATTTTCAGTGATGCCAGCTCCAACACCAGTTACAGTACTCACATTACTTTTCAGCTGGGTGCATTAATTCCTTGCTTTCTCCTAAGCTCAAGCAAAGGTCTTCATAAAACTCTGCACAGCAGCCCTGTGGTTGTTCAGAAAACTCCATAAGAAGCCCTGTGCCTGGTGTGTTGACTCCACTGCCTGACATACTGATCAGTGCCATTTCATTTCTGCATACTGCACTGTCTGTCTCCTCGTTTAGACTGGAAATTCTCCATAGCAGGGTCAGTGTTCTTGTTCTGCTCACCCGTGAAAGGGCAGCATACAGCCTGAGCAATGAGTGGGGTTCTTGGTAAAAACAGTGTTACTGTAGTAAAAACATCAAGCAGAGAATTGAATCTCAGTAGTATGAAATTCAGAACAAAAAAAAGGAAGCCCTCTTCTGAAATGGGTAAGGGAACAGCTTTTACAAAGTATAATGGTAAGTTAAAGGTTCTCTTACTCGGATGTTTCAGTTCTTGCATGTATTGACTGGATCTAAAGAATTGCATGGTTAATAGGGATTTTATTAAGTCTGATTATTCCAGATAAGCTCTGCTTCTTCTTAGTTTGGAAGTCTCCATAAATTGAGAAATTATAGGCTGAAATCAAAGTTACTCAATAATAGACATTTCTAGAAGATGGCATTTCCAAAGGTCAAATTCTGTTCCAAACTAAATGGAATGTTTGGAATTCAGTGTAACACTGAGGCATGGATCGGTACCAACATAATTTCATAACATTGCATGCACATCAGTTTTGCAGTTTACACGCTTACTTGCTGTTACCTCTTGCTTGTTGAGTAGTGGCCAGTGCCAGAGCTGCATGGCCACTTTTCAGGGTTCTTTTGCCCCTGTATAAGGGAAAATCAAACATACCATGAGGTTGGGGCAGGTGGATTACTTACCCTTCCTTTCTGATTTATGTTAAACCACTTGGCTTTGAGGAGCACCTCTGGTCCTGGAAAATGGCGCTACTTTTACCTGGCAAGAAAAGACTTGATTGTTGCTTAACAAAACCAGAGAGCACTGCGGTGCTGGAGCAGCAGGAGAGCCCTCGCTGCCCTGTCCGCACCCATGGTGCCAGGTCTGGAGCAGCAGGGCTGAGCAGCAGCTGGTACGGCCCGTGCTGTGCTTGGTGGGACAGTCCATCCGCAGTATTGCAGTCCTGAACCGCCAGGACTTTGGAGCAGCAGCTGCTATAACGGGAATTTTAGGGAATACATTGGCTATGTCTGTTTTGCAGCTCAGTCAGCGTTTGTTCACATCTCCTTCAAGCCTGGACGCGTTGCCTGTTTGAAAGAGAACTCCCGAACCCCACTCCAAGCCTGTTTAGAGACGGGACACTGGTTATTTTGCACAGCGTGCTCGGTGGTGCATTTCTACGCTTACCTGCTGCCGCGGGCTTTTGGCTCTTCCCAAACGGCTGAGGAGGGCGGGCGCCGCTCCCGCCTTCAAACAACGCCCGCGCCCGGCCCCCCCTGCCCCGTTACGCCCCTGGGCCCGCGCCGGGCTCCTCCCTCCGCGTTGCCCGGCAGCCGGGGCCGCTGCCAGGGGCAGGAGAGGCGGCTGTTGAAGACGGAGCGGTTGAGGCCTGTTGTCTCGGGTCTGCCGGCGGGCCCTGACAGAGAAGAGGGATTGGCCGGCCCTCAGCCCGCGGGCCCGCTTGCTGGCAAACTGGGTAACCGGTGTCACGGCTGAGCCAGCCTGACCTGCGCGCCCTCAGCTGTTGGGTTCAGCTTTGTGCCAGGTACCTGCGGCTGGTTTGGGGTGAGTGAGCAGAAAAGTAGGAGGTAAGAGCAAGGAGGGGTGGCGGAGATGAGGTGACCTCTGTGTTCAGCAAGAGTTGAATGGGACAAACCTACCTGTATGAGCAAAGCGCAGTGTGTAATTGCAGCATGCTTTTCGTTCATCCAGCTGTAAGGTTTTCATGTAAAGTCTGCCAGGAGCACAGATTACTCACTTTTTGCTACATCTTTTGTTTGTTTGGTTTGTTTTAATACGTAAACATAATACAAACTTGGTAATCCACATACTCTAGCTCCTGTACGAAAATGGTAAGACTCTCCTTGGCGTGCAGTAGTGAGTTGTCACCACAGCTAGCTTTCACACGGGCGTGAGTGCTGTGACTTGTCTGGACTACCAGCTTTGCACGTTTATACCGTGGTAGGCTTGAGGAGAAAGATTAGATTAAAACTATCTAAAGACACATATTAAAGCCTTACCTGGAGCTGTGGCTGGTGTCCCAGCTCCAGTCTTCTACTTGGTGTTGACACCAAGGTTGTTTGGAGATGCACAGTGCCCATCTGCTCACCCTTCTGAGTCTGTCAGTTCTCTAGTAGCCCCAGCTGTTGAGTAGGACAGGAGAGAGTTTGGGTACGAGGTGAGCCCCATGTGCGCATGCAGGTTTTTATTCGCATTGTGCGTCTGTGAACTGCTGTTTCATTACTCCTTTCAGGTCTGTATGACTGAACACAAAGGACCATGCCTCTTCCAGAAACCATGTTTTGTGCTGAGCAGATCAGAATCCCCCCTGAGCTACCTAATATTCTGAAGGAATTCACCAAAGCTGCTGTTAGGACTCAACCTCATGATGTTTTGCAGTGGTCAGCTGCGTAAGTAAGATGTTCACATAACAATGGAGTGCTATGCATATGGACCCACGAAATCTCACTGCCATTTATTGTACAGTGAAGATAGCTGTGACTACTAAACCAAGCTGTATATTGCCTATGTGCTTCTGGGCCTTTTAAAAATGGTGGAGTACTTGATATATTTTCTGTTTCATTGAGGTTGAGGACTGGCATATTTCTGGAATAGTTTGGTTTCCAGACAGAAAAATGCATCTTAAGTTTTTGGTTATTAATTTCTCTGTCCTCAAGACCAAATATTTTTCTTCTTTTTCTTTTCCTCCTCCTCTCATGTGAGACTTTAATTCTTGTAATTTAAAGGAAAACTAGAAAATAGTTTTCTCATTCTTAAGCTTACTTAGGTTTCGTGCTTTTTTTTTGTTTCCAGACACAAAATTAAGGTGTCCTTAAATGTTACTGAAATAGGAAAAAATCCTGAAAAGTTGCAACTTACAGGTGACAGTACACATTATAAACCTCTCACTGTAAAGTTGATTTAAGATGCTTGAGGTGATGGATGTGCAGTGAGCTTGCCCCAGCTGAGCAGACAAAAGCAGCAAAGACTGAGGAAGGTAGCTTGAGCTTACGAGGGTATATGGCTAGTGAGAGCAGGGGCATTGTGGCACTGCCATGGCCATGCCATGACCTTTGCTTGAAGATTGCACTAGCTTGATGGGAGGAGTCCCTGCAAATGGGTAGGTGGTTGCTGCTGATTGCACATCAGTCTTTCTGGAATATGCTCTGATGTGAGAGCACCTGTGGCAGAGCAAAGTCTGGACCTGCAAGCCACATGAAGCAGAACAAAGCTGTGGTTTCACACTCACTGCCAATCATAGCATAGAATCATAGAATAGTTAGGGTTGGAAAGGACCTTAAGATCATCTAGTTCCAACCTCCATGCCATGGACAGGGACACCTCACACTAAACCATGTCACCCAAGGCTCTGTCCAACCTGGCTTTGAACATTGTGAGGGATGGAGCATTCACAACCTCCCTGGGCAACCCATTCCAGTGCCTCACCACCCTCACAGTAAAGAATTTCTTCCTTATATAAATCTAAACTTCCCCTGTTTAAGTTTTAACCTGTTACCCCTTGTCCTATCACTACACTCTCTAATGAAGAGTCCCTCCCCAGCATCCCTATAGGCCCCCTTCAGATACTGGAAGGCTGCTATGAGGTCTCCACGCAGCCTTCTCTTCTCCGGGCTGAACAGCCCCAACTTTCTCAGCCTGTCTTCATACAGGAGGTGCTCTTCATACAGGAGGTGCTCCAGTCCCCTGATCATCCTCGTGGCCCTCCTCTGGACTTGTTCCAACAGTTCCATGTCCTTTTTATGTTGAGGGCACCAGAACTGCACACAATACTCCCAAGTGAGGTCTCACAAGAGCAGAGTAGAGGGGCAGGATCACCTCCTTCGACCTGCTGGTCACGCTCCTTTTGATGCAGCCCAGGATACGGTTGGCTTTCTGGGCTGCGAGTGCACACTGAAGCCTGCTCATGTTCATTTTGTCATTGACCAACACCCCCAAGTCCTTCTCCACAGAGCTGCTCTGAATCTCTTCTCTGCCCAACCTGTAGCTGTGCCTGGGACTGCTCCGACCCAGGTGTAGGACCTTGCACTTGTCATGGTTAAACTTCATAAGGTTGGCATCAACCCACCTCACAAGCGTGTCAAGGTCCCTCTGGATGGCATTCCTTCCCTCCAGGGTATCAACTGAACCACACAACTTGGTGTCATTGGCAAACTTGCTGAGGGCGCACTCAATCCCACTGTCCATGTCAGCAACAAGAACAAGACCAGTCCCAACACCGATCCCTGAGGGACACCTCTCATTACTGGTCTCCAGCCGGACATTGAGCCATTGACCACAACTCTTTGTGTGCGGCCATTTCTGTATAGGCTGTTACAGTGTTGTAGAGCTTGTTACTGTGAATAATCAGAAGGACAAATCAGAAGGGCAAATGCTTAGTTCTGCTGTGCTGCTTGCTGTTAATTTCGGCCAGTATTTGGACAACATGGGGTGGACAGCATGGGGTAGCCTGAGCATGGACATGGGTGCCAGGGTAGGTGAAGGAGGATGAATAGAAAAGCCCTTAAATTAGACCTACCACTAACTGAATGAAAACTGAGGTTTCCTTGCATAGTTCAGATTGCTGGCCAGCTACGGCAGAGGTGGTTTCTTTTAAGGCTGTGGTGGCCTTATAAGTGAAAGGATCTAAATCTAATTCCCTTTCTGCTCTAGTCTTACAATTTATTTTGGAGTGGGCAGAGATAGCAGAAACACTGACGAGAGAGTTGCAATAATAGCCAGTTGTGCTTCTTGGGTAGTGTGCGAGGGGTATGTTAAGCAAATGAGCCCTCAGGTGCTCATCAGTCAAATAGGAAAAGCCTGCACTTCAGTTTGCAAGTGCACTCTGATGTTAATAAATCATTGCCTTTGCCAAGAAGGGCTGAGTATGTCATGCACAAAGGAAGTTAAAGGCCTGAAGAATTATTAGAATATCTTAAAAAAGGAGTGTGTAAAGCCTAAGGATCGTGGTTTCCACTAAAAAGAAAGGTGCTGTCTAGGGCATGGGGAGATGAGAGTTGTGTGCACAGGCGGCTTGCTGAGTGCTGCCGCTCCTGCATGGGAGTGTGTGGATTCATTCACTGGACTGTAACAGCATTTATTTCTGTGCAGCTTGTAATGGCCATAGGCATTCAAGTGTGTTCTCTTCCCATTCACTTAGGTATTTTTCAGCGTTGTCAAAAGGTGAGACCCTTCCTGTGAAGGAGAGGCTGGAAATGCCTTTAGCAATAGAGAAAACGGATGCTGTTTTGACCAAAGGACTCCTTAAAGTCTTGCACAAACAGGTATACCAGCCTTTATCAAATGCACAATGCTGTTGAGGAATGCTGATGCATTGGAGATGGCTGGGGAGACTGATTGTCAAGTATCTGATGTATTTGGGGGAGGGATAGTGTTCTTAGTTTCACTATGGTTTTTAGAGTTCTTACTGTGGTACCACGATTTTGTGTAAAGCTTTCTCCCAAAGGCATGGTGAATGTTGCAGAACTGAAGGAGAAATGGAAGCACTTGTGCTTGCCAGAGAAGCAGCTGGAGGCTATCCTGCAGTTGGACAACTTCGGCAAGGAGGTGGAATGGATGAAGTTTCTGGCACTTGGGTGCAGCGTGCTTGGCAAGGTATGGTAACAGCAACAGCAGCCCTCATATCAAAACACAAATGGTCATATATGATCATGTATGAGGTAGACCACAGAACAATTAGTGCAAATGGACTTTGGGGATTGCTTTTCCAGCAGCTGGAAAAGTGGCCTATTTACTTTTGTTCCCCATCAGCTTTTGATCAGGAAAGCTTAATCAGAAAGACAGCTAAGTCCTCAGCTTACTGGGAGGGCATTAGAAGAGTAAGCATGTCTGCAGGGAGCTTGGACCATGAGAGAGAGGATCATAGAGGAATGATACTTATGGCATCAAATTAATGATGCTTATGGCATCAGTATAAATGTCTGTGAGGAAGAACTGGAGGGAGAAATTAAACCGTCAATTCATAATTGATTGTGCAGTCAATTAAATTTTCACAGAAGCAGTTAACGTTACTAAATCTAAATTTAATTCTTTTAATGTCAGTAATAAAATCTCAGCAGAGCATTTCCACAGAATGAGAGATTATAAAATGCACTAAGTTGATGATCTTATGAAGTATAACGCTGCTAATGATTTCTGCAGTAGGGAAGAAGGGGTACTAAAAAGAAAGTATATATTGGATAATATTTTGGCAACGTTGCAATCTCTGGAAGTCCTGAATGCTATCCTGGCCTGGTGATAGAATTATGTATGTGTGCGAATATATATATATTCATCTCAACTGTGTATGTCTTGATTCTAATCCCACCCCTCAACATGATTTTGTATTTTGGTCTCTTTTCTGAATTAAAAAAAAAAAAAGTAACAGCAACATTGCTTATTTAAAAGAAAAATCAAAACCAGAGTGACAGGAACCTCATTCTGATGGAGCTAGACAGCCTAAATTTACCTCCATCTATCCATCCTTTCAGATATATGTCAATTATTTGATTTTAGCTGTATGTAATGAAACCTAAACTTCAGTTTCCTAAACCAGAGAGGAAGACACACACAAATTTATTTCCTTCGCTGTAAATTATGTTCATAGTTGAATAGGGTCACAGTTAAGATACAAGAGTGGACAAGTCTGAACTTCTTAAGAACACCAGTGATCTGAGGTATCTTTCTGCAAAGCACTGGTGTGTTTTTACAGCCTTGGAGAAATGACCACACAGATTAAACTGTCTTTCAAAGATGGCAAAAACAATGTGAATAACTCTGCTGTGTTGTGAGAAAGCAGCCGCTTGGAGTGGCAGAAGCAGGAATGGAAGTAGCCGGGTAGCAAACAGCAGGGGGTAGATAGAGTCTGCCATCGTATAGGCAGCTACCTCTCCTTTCACAGAAAGGCCGCCCAGGGGAGGAACTGCACTAAATAAACTGTTAAAGGATTATAAACTGTTACTTCTCTGGCCTGTGTTCTACATATTGAACAGACACTGTATTTATTTTAAATATTGCTGTTCTACTCTTAGGAAATACTTATCTTTTTCCAAAGGCATCGCTTGCTTGTTAATACATGGGTAAGGATACCCTTTGAAAAGGTTATAGCAAAAATGTTACAACTTGGGTTAAAAAAGGCCTGCGTGGGTTTTTGTTTGTTTGTTTTAATGGCATGCAACCAGTCTTTGACTCAGTGAAGCTCTATGATGAATTTTTCCACATATTTCCCTGTATAGCTTATCACGTGTTGGGCACTGTGTTATGGCAGTGTACTGAATAAAGGATTTTTTCAAAGTATATTTGGAAGTAATACCTTGAGGCATGTTTGATTTTAAGGGAACCTGGACATTATTGGGCTTTGACTAAATTGGAATATGCTTGAAAGGCTTTTTGCCTCAGTGCTTTTTCCACTAACTACTATAATGGGACTTGCACACGAATAAGGAATACAGTAAATAGCAGCACTCCTAAAAAATTAATACCATATTATATTACAATGCTATAATAAAAATCAAACCCCTGTCAATTTTCTGGGCTTTGTAAATTTTTCTGTCTTAACTGCTGCTGAGAATTCAGTTAGATCGATTGAGATAATAAATACACACACATATCCCTGTCCGTAGGTATAGTAATGTTGGAGCTTTTACAGCAGCAGAGCAATTTGGCCATATGGAAATTAGGGCTCAGGCTACACCATATGATACAGAGGGTACATTTGAGGTTGAAACCTAGGCAACCATGATAAAGCTTTCATCTCATTTACACTATTAGTGGCTTACAGTGTGGATTTTGTTATGGTGTTTAAAGGATGTTCATGGCTCTGATACTGTTCCTCTCATTTCTTGACTGAACCCCCCTCCAGTCCTTGCTGAGTTCAGTGAAACATGCCTGTGAAATCTTAACAAAGGACCCAGAAGGTGGAGCAGCTCGCATACCCTTCGAAACATTCTCATTTCTTTACCTGTATTTGGCCAGCATTGATGGAGAGATACCAAAGGAGGAAGTTGAAGTCTTCCTCCACAAAATTAAAGAGGAAGCGTAAGTAAAAATCCACGCATGCAATTTTAATGTATTGAGCACCTCTGGGTTTTCCATAAGCCTTTCATTTCAGGTGAGTAGTCTGTCTTCACTTTGGGCACAGCCATGATGACAGGAGTAAAGATTGACTGAGGTTCTGCCACCATCACTGATGGGCTCAGCCTCAGCCAGTGGCAGGTCTGTCTTGGAGCTGGGCAGGCATTGGCTCTGTTGGAAATGGGGGAAGCTTCTGGCAGCTTCTCACAAAAGCCACCCCATGTAGCCTGCCCTCATCTTTCCCTTTGTCACTACCAAAACCTTGACACACAAAGCCAGGTCCATATACATGGGGGCTCAAAAAAGCACACAACTGGTTTGTTTTGCATTAATTACCAGATTGACAATTTATTAGTAAGAACCAATTTTTAATCACCCTGCTCTGGCCTGAAATTAATATAACCCTCAGTTATCTTGTCCAACACACTAGGACTTACCATGTTCAAATGTTGTTCTAAAGCATTTCATTTATTCCTTTCCAGTGACAAACAATCTGGCATGGTGCTGCTCAGAAACTTTTTGAGCCAGGCCTCAACACTGTTTTGATCAAGCCCACTCTTCATCATTGGGTGAGAGAAGAAAAAAAAAAGTAAGAAACAAATGTGCAGGAAAAGAATCTGTGTTCAAAGGACTGTTATTTGTACATCACAATAAAAGACAACCCTCTCCTGGCACTTTCTTTTCTTTATCGCACTCCTGAACTCTTCCTTCAGTGGGCCTCTCAAATATTGATGCTCACACCTAGGGAGCAATACCTTCACTCCATATTTTGGTATGGATCTTCCTACCTATACTTTGCTAGTGTCATAAGAAGTAAACAATAGAATTAAACTTAGACTGGACAGCTGTATTTGGTGTATTTCTCATTATGCTTCTGCTAGCATTGACTTTGTGACTCTTACACAAATACAGCTTGTCTTCTGACCACCTCGTCTACTCGAACACGCTCTCTTAAATAAGTAGTTCTACCAAGCCTTAAGGAAAGTTCATGAGAACCTCGTGACTGAGCTGATAGAAGAAATATTAACTCAAGAAAGAACTGCAATGGTTCCTTATTTTTTTTCCCTCCAATTAGAACCTTTCACATAACTTAAGTAAGCCTCTTCTTCCATTCTTAGATAACTTGTCTAATTCAGGATCTACTTTAAAATACATTTTGTTTTCTGACAAGAAAAGCTACTGCATTTGTCATGTAGGTGACAAATGAGTTCAGTGTTCTTTTGCGTGAATAGCTGTAGTAGGTACAGAAGTCTAAACCAGAACTAGATTTCTTTGTGACACCTAATCACACTTAATTGAAGAAACAACTGAGGTGAGACAGTGTACAGTAAAACTAGAGCAATTCTCTTGACAGGAAAGGCCAAAACCAGGAGTATGCGGAGTGCCCTCTCCTGGCAACTCGAGGAAGCAGAAGAGTGTTGTAGGAAAGATGAATCTGAAAGCTTGTTCTTTATAGTTGCTTGCTTTGTTGAGGTAACAAGCTTGGCTGGTGATGTCTGACCTTGCTGTAGTAGATTGTGTGAGGAATTAACTGGGAATTGATATAATAAATATCTCACTGAAGTTAAGTGAATCCTCCTGCACGCCCTTGGTATGTGCACTTACCTGCTAGTCTGCAGGATGGGAACTCCTCCTAGTTATTTCTGGAAGTAAATGGGTAGGCACCTGGTGTTTGAGAATGGCATTCGGCAATATTAGAGGCTTCCTTGGTGCCTCCCCACTGGTTTCCATAGAGAGCTATATTCTTGTCATCTTTGCCACATGACATTGATCCTAAATTTCTTTGAGCATGAGCTTAGGAACAGCAACTTTCCTGCTGTGGTCCTTTTACCACTAGCTGCAGTTGAAGACGCTTCAGCCTGTTGGAGAACTCTGAAATGTGCCCTGTCCCCTCTGGTTCATATGGTAACCAGGCAGCAAGTGCTGCTGTTCTGGAACCCTGGTCCCAGAGGTGACAGTGTCAGGTGGGAGGGTACGAAGGGAGCTCTCTGCATGCCTTTTCCATCTGTAATTGATCCCAGACTCCAGCGGTTAGTACTCTATCCACCATGTATGGGCCAGGAAGGCAAATTAGTACAGCCTCTCTGAGATTTCATTCTTCAGCCTTGTGAGACTGAACTCAGATGAGATCAATGTAATTTATTAAGAGTTGCATTAGTGAAAAAATATACACGTTTTCTGATGTATACTGCTTCCATCCTGACAAACCTTCACACTTTTGGTCTCCCAGCACAGCTGTAGCACCAATAATACGTACACAGCATTACTGTCCCTGGCACAACAGCAGTAATAATAGCTCTTGTGCAAGTCATTTTTTGAAAAGCTGGCAAAATAATCAGGTTCTTGCTTCTACTTTCTTCTTTTATAGTTGTGATACTTTTCTTCATCCCTGAAACAAAACCACAAACACTGTGTGGGCTGTCAGGCTCTGACTGACACAATCTGAAGGAAAAAAAAATATTTGGAAAATGGAAAGCATTCATTAAATGTAATGATGCCTTCTTCTAAGGAAAGAAAGTAGACTACTTTAAAGCACTTTATTTCCCATGCTGTTTAATCAAAGCCTTGTCAAGCAGTGCCATAGTGGCAATTAGTTTAGGATGAATGGCATCACTGGGAAATGAAGCCGGTTTTGAGATAAGCAATCATCTCCTTCTGTGCAGTTACCTACAGTATTTCTTCCATACACACCAGGAATAATGCAGCATTTCTGCTGGCCAATCAAGTCTTTGCTCAAACACAGGTCCCACGCACCTATGGACTTGCAGGTGCAAACATGCCCTTGTTGATGGCATTAGAAGTGTGGCCTAGATTTGTTTTCTTTTGCCTAAAAATATACCCAGAACTACTGAAAAGAAACCAACACTGTTTTAAAGCAACTACCTTTGAAACGCTACTCAAGTGATTATGTGTGCATATGTATTGGTGAAAACAATCTTCCTGATTAAGTCAAGTCCCAGTGCAAACTAGAGCAGAGATCAGCACGAGACATGACAAGCACACATCACTGACAGCATGCTCCCCTGTGCGTACATTGATCAAGGAGCAGAACAGCCAGTACTGTGCTAATCCTGCAGCATGCAGCTCAAAGCATCACCTTTCAGATGTGAGGGTAAATCCTGAAGTCTGGATCACAGTTTATGATCTCACAGCATGTTCTGTTCAGTATGAGTAGTCTCATGCCACTGGCTTGTTACACAGTATACTAAGTTGAGCCCAGCTTTTTAACTGAACTAAATATTCTAATTCTCTGCACTAATTTCTTACAGACAATGCTACAGCTGCCTGATTCAGAAGCAGACTTCAGCTGTCACCATGTCTGCTCACCTCTCTCTTTTTCTCCGAGAATCCTTGTCTTTGCCTCTTTCACGACTCCTCCTTCGTTTACTTGGACTCCTGCTGCTCTCTCTCCTATGCCTGGTGCATTCAGTTTCTTTGGAGCTTCCTCCCGACTGCCGGGAGTCCACTGAAGCTGACCGCCTGTCTTCCTTCCTGAAACAAAGGTTATTGAGTCTGTTCAATAAAAACTGTTTCACAGTCACTGTTGTTTTCAGCACCACATTTATCACATAATGGCCCAGTAGAAGGTATCTTTTATTAAGGCTGTCTATCTCCCTAAGAAACACAATCCATCCCAAAAGAGGCCCAAAGTCCATTCTCTTGTATATGCACCTCTCAGCACACTAGTAGTTATTTATTACGAACACCGCCCCTCAGTCTTACATTCTCTGCTCATGGAACAGGAGGCAGTAGAAGGGGTTCACCCCATTTTGCTTTCAGTGCCTAACTCTTCAATAACCTGCCTTTAAGCCGCTACCTACAGCTGGAGAACCCAGCAAGCTTGATCTCCTGTATGGCTGCCTCATTCACCTTCATTTTAATGCTGAAAACACCTTGAGTATCACCTTTTTTCAATACCATTTTCATCTCAAAGATCTTCTGAAGAAGCACAAATAGGCTATTGCCAGGTCATGATTCCATCTTCATTTCAGTGACAAATGTTTGGAAGAGTGCGTGGTGTTACTTGATACAGGAAGATACATGTATATACAAAACATACTCCCAGTTAGCACAGCAGCATTCACAGTGATAAGAACTTTAAAGGGTCCCCATGTTTAGTAACTCAGGAAAACCTTTCTTCTGAGGTATTTTATATTTACCATAGCATTTCCTGTCATGTTGTAGGGAAGGGGAAGAAATTGTACACTCCTATTTTCAAGTACCCTTCTGTCCCCAGCTATCACATGCATATGTATTTGGACAGAAGAAGGAGCACTACTGATTCCCCAGCTCCACCAAAACCTACCTGTTCACCTGGATCACTTGTAACTTACCTTCTTACCCCTGAAAGCAAGCTAATAATTCCTTTTCCCCCCATCCCTCATGCAGGCAGAGCTTCTCAGGCAAGAAATTAATAGCATTAGCAGAAAATAAACTGTGCACATGTCTCAGCCAAGGTTGGTATGCGTTACTGGAAGAAGGTGGTAAGATACAATTACAGGCCATCAGCCCACTCACATGCCCAAGGAATTTGTCAACGATGGCATACCTTCCTGAAGATTTTGACTTTCCTCCTTCACACGTCTCTGCATTATCCAACCTATTCTCCTCCTGCCAGTGATTGCTGAGTTCTTCCATATGCACACCAATCACATCCCGAATCACCTGGAGATTAAGATATATTAAAAAGAAACAAAAAAAGCAGCAGGTCATGATACTGGCTTGAATTTGCAACTAGACAGCAGAAAGTAAACATCCCCCCCCCAAAACCTATAATCGGATGGTTGAATAGAAAGTCTGATTTGCAGAAACAGGTATTTCAGCAGAAATTCAAATAGCACCCTTTTACAACAGACAGTCAACTACATCTTGCTGCCATTTTCACATTCAAAATGTGAGTCAGAAATGCCCCTATTATTTGTAACTTGCAGCAATAAACAAAAGACATTTTCTTTGTCTGAAAGGGGATAGCATTGTTTATGTTGATATATAATAAGCACTTCTGTGCAAAAACCGCCTTATTTTCAGATCTCACCTCAGTGTAAGACTTCTTTGTTATATGAACGTTCTTAGCCCTGTATGACTGCCGCCGCCTTTTGTAATCTCGCATTTCAGCCAGAATTTCAAGATGGGACTTGGGACCTTTCTGACTATCATCTAGAGAAAAATTGGAAGTAAAACAGATGGTCATTAGCAGGACATTAGCACCTGCAGGTATGCAAGTCTGGGGCTTTAATAATACAAGTCTGAAACAGAAAATATATTGTGTTCTTTCTGAAGTTTCCCCAGTACTTAGTAACTATTACGAATTCAGCACAAGCTTCCTCTCCAACCTTTTTGCTAGCTGTTTACACAAGACTAAAAAGCCACTGAGCAAATCTCTTATGTGATCTCAGTCTCCTAACAGTGATCTAAATCAACATATGGGCTTGCAATTTGGTCAAACAGCTACAAAGTACAAGCCATGTTTTCAGAGCCAGTATTACAATAAGGCACAGAGACTGAAAAAGCCAGATTCTGTAAATAATTTACCTGTGTAGATCACAAACACTCCATGCAGAGCAGGGCCCACAGGGTAACACTGATGCTTATGCTGCACTTGTACAGTTACAAACTGGCATGACTCAACAGGGATGAGAGGCCTCGGTCCAACACTCCCGTTTGTATATTGCTCAAGAGCTCCATCGGATGACTGCCAAACTTTCTTGTTTGGCTTTTACTCTTAAGTGATCTTTAATCTCACCATCTCTTACAGCAAATACTGTTCTCAAGTGCATAGTAAGTTGGCAACATTAAGCAACCTGTCAGTTGCAGCAAAGACAAAAGATTCATCCACCAACATACACAATATGTGTGCCAAGAGCAGAGCACTGAGGCTCTCTCAGATGGAAAACAACATAAAGGATACCAAACTAGTGTTTTCTGATGCGAAGTCTTCACTGAGGCTTTTAAGAAAAGCATGCTTTTCACACTAAAAATAGCACAAGCAATTCTGCTTGGCTTGCAACAAAAGTCATCTAACTACACAAAATGAAAGATCCAAGACAAAACTCAACAACAAATAGTTCTTCAAACCTTGTGTGATTTTTGCTGCTAAATCCACAAAGAGGTCACTGTCATTTTCCGTTATTTGGGACCTAGACCTCTGTTTCTTTGTTTCCTCAACAACATAATCATAAAGAGCAAGGCGATCAGCTTGAGTCAGGTCACAGGTGAAACGCTTGTGATTTTGGGGAACTTCTACAGGCAGTAATGAGTAAGATCCTAGAAGTAGAACAGACAGCTGTTATTAGTAAAATAGCATAATTTTATAGGAAAGCACAGAAGTTCAACAAACAACAATGAAGGAAATACCCATGCTTTATTCACCCGTCTTAATTTGAAAGGATAAAAATCGCTCAAATTAAAAAAAAAAAAAAAAGGTCCAAATCCCCCCCCAGCCCCATGCAGGCTGTGTAAGCTTTCCTTTTTATACTTTTATTTACAGGTTTTCATATGCTTTGAAGGGATCACACTAGGTTAGTTCAAAAGGACACTCAGCTCTGGGATTACACGAGAGAAGAGGCAGAGCTCCAACCTGTGGGTTTGTCTTACTCCTAAAATTTTCTTTAAAGTACCATCTGCAAAATACTCTGCCAACAACAATGAAAGCCTCTAGGAGACTAAACAACTGGACACTGTGCAAATCAGTGTCACTCACACTGTCACTTCCTTTACAGAGCTCTTTATTATAGACTGCCATAGGCATTTCTAGCTAAGGCTACAAAGGCACTTTCAAAATGCTTCAGATTAGTTCAAATAACTAACTTTAATGTTATGGAAACACACACACTGCCTGCATACTCTTCTTTCCCTGAATAGTCGCAATTTCCATTCCCTGGTTAAAACATATATCCTGGTTAAAACATATATCCTCCAAACACATACTAAACAAATAATAAATCCTTTCTCAATCCATTGCAACAGCTGCAAAGTGACCTCCCTAAGGACACAGGATGCAGTATTCTAGGATATTGCCTGCAGAAAAGCATTTTACTCGAGAACATTCCAATTCCCAGCAACTATTGACCTCATCTCCATAATCCTGCTCCCCACAATACAACCTTCTCCCTGCAAGACACAATCATACCCAGATGATATGACACAGACATACCCAGACAGACAGAACAGCCAACACATAAGGTGGGGTTTATGCAGGAGCCTGCAGAATAGCAAAGCTACTGCTTCTCTACATTATTCAGCACCTAACAGAAGCGGGGCAATCTTTCACCTCCTGATTTCACTAAAGACACCAAAGAAGAGGAGCCACAATAACTCTGCAACAAACCCAGAAGACAAGGTTTTGTCATTACTGTACCTGAAACCGAAACCAGAACTTTTCCAGTCCAAACTAACAGATTTAAACATGAAAACAAGAATTTCATTTTTAAAAGGCACTGTTATACAGGGTCACAGCAGCCCATAAAAGTACCCTGTAATGCACTTGTAATTTTACAAGGCTTTTACAGGTTGTGATTAATACCAGCCTTCCTGTCCTATTACATAGCCAGCTTAAAGAAGACTTTAAATTAAACAAACAATACTAAGTAAATCTTACAAGAGGCCAAGATAACACAATGAGAACTATCCCAACACAGTTTTAGTGTTAGCTTCAGAAAAACACATGCTTGCAGTGGGTAGCAAACGCTGGCACCTAGTGGTTCACGGATGTATCTTTGCAATGCACCACTTTAAAGGGTGTATCCGTTTCTTTACTTGCATGTGAGCGAGCAGCTGTGCGGTTCTGAGTTACAGGCTGGGCTTAAACCACGACAGCTTAGGACAGTCTCGAAACAATCCAACATAATAATAGACATGTTGCTTGTGTTTTGATTTAAGGAGTGGTGGATAAGCACATACAACACGTCTAGCAATTAATCCTTAAACAAAACATTACATGAAGAACCATCACACAAAGAACAAGGCTGAAGGCAGCATTAGGAGAGTTTGAGCCACAAAGCGCAGAAGGAAACACAGGAAGAAAGTAAAGTGGAGGTAGTGGGATGGGAAGTGAAGGACTAGTGCTTTAAGAAACTCCTTAATTTTGCAGTTTTCATCTTCCAGTCCTGCAGAGAACTACAGGTGTGAGCACAACAGACTCGAGCTCTCTTATCAGGTTTTCTTTCCAAGCAGACAAAGTAGTTATGCTCCAAAAAATACACGGGCAGGAATACTAAAAATAAGTAAAAAAAGTCTCATAGCAGTTCACAAGCGGAATGAGGAAGCTGCGATAGGAGAGACAAGAACAGCTCTCCATGAGACCTCATACAGCTGCCTCAGTGTCTGCTTGTTACTTACCTTCGCTGTAGCCTGTGCCTTCTCCGGCACTTTGAGCTCTAGCTTGTTTAACAATGTGAAACTGTAGATCTTTATCTGTAGACAGAGAAGACAGAAATAGCACAGAACTTTTATGTTGAGTACTTGGGAGGGTTAGTCTTTATTCCCCAGCTTCTATTATGGTATGTTACAGAACATTGTAGTTTTATTTACACATAAGGGAAG